GAATTCAGCTTTGTAGAGACTTATTTTCAAAAATCTTTGGACATTGCTGAGATCCATTGCTAGTTCTTTGCCGAGGCTACGAACAAGTTCTTGAGATGAAGAATTCTCGGCAGTTCCCTACGCACCTTTCACAATGTATGGAGTCCAAGACTGGTCAATGGAATACATTCACTGAACCAAAATTGGTCGATTGAAAATCTGCTGGTTGGGGTTTTGCTAATCCTAAGCTTATTGGTTTTGGTTGATAGGTTACTAGATTTCTACCCCAATAGTTCAATTGTTCATCTACTTCTATTCGGATGTGTCCAACACGTAACTCATTCAATTTTCTTTTAAAATGATCAAAATTTTGGTCGATTTGCTCTAAAAATGACGTCCAAATAAGATTTGAAGCTAAAAATTTGCACCTCGGGGCTTTCGGGGTTTGGGAATTGATTGGAGGAGTTATTTCAGTCATCTAAATTTCTAACCACTTAATCCTAATTTTCACCTGTTTCTCCATATTGAACATAGTCGAATTCAGCTAATATCAATCTACAGAATTGCAGAACGAAAATCAAAAAGAACATTGAATATTAAACGAATAAATGTTTCAATGTTCGATGAGTTGCAATTTCATGAAACGAAACCTTCTCTTCGAAAACATTTCTTGTTTGAGTGTGGTTTACTCACCTGGATGTCAATTGTTTTCTCTTCTTCGGGAAAAAGTGATATTTGTCCTGCTTCCCTAACCATTTCGAGAGTTTTTAGTCTCTCAATGCACTTCTTTTCACCTTTTATTTCAGTTCTCACGAACTGGGTCAATAGTAAATGTTTGTATGTCTTTTTCCAGGTAACTTTTCAAATTGTACCCGCCCAATTACAAAGAACAGAAAGTCAATCATAGACAAACAGTTTTCTATTAATCTATTTCTTTACAAGACTTTTGTCTTTACAAGTTTGGAAATAAAAACTCAAACTCAGTATCGAATTCTTTACATTTACCATTTGATAAGGAGATCAGAAAGCAGGTTATTAGCATAAAAAGGAAGTAAAATGATACATCAGATAACTTAAAATGTTTCTATTTGTGATTTTGTCCGTTTTGGTTCCCGTTTCCCGATCATTTGTGGGAGTAAAGAGACAAATAGTGCCAAAAATAGACATCCACTAGGCACAAATGATTCGACTTTTCAAAAGAATTGCGAACAAAATAAAGTGGTTGAACTATTTACTGTTTACTTCACTTAAACATCAACTTCGCACCTGAATCAGCTCAAGAATAGAATCCAGGTTATTCAAATTATAACTATAGTGGCTAGTAGACAAAATTTTGAACACTTTCTATTGAAAAGTCTTTTCTTTATCTGAACTCTCCATTTATAGCAATTTTACATTTGATCAAAACCAGTTCCACCAAAACACCTCTTTCCAAACCTTTCAATTCTTCTAGTTCTTCCATAAATCCATTACCATAAATCTTGCCTTTTTGTAAATCAATGCTTAAAAACACCTTTGACCGCCACATTCTCAACCCATTCAGTTGTTTTTAACCGCTTTGACCCGATTTTGGAACAGAAATTCGAAAACTAATGGAACTTCCTGCAGAGTAGAGATAAGAAATCAAATTACTCTTACGGACAATAAAGGTTTTGGGCAAATATTTTGAGCAAGGAAGTTTTTTGAATAGATCTTTCAGTTTTTAAATGTTACACCGTTTTAAACTGATAATTGCCTCGTAATGTCTGTCTGTTTCAAAAAAATTTATTCAAAATTTATCTAAAAATGCCTTTTCTTTGGCCAAACGACTCTTTGACGGTCTCTTGCAAACGAAACGAGCAAAGCTTGCACTTGCCGCCGACCAAATTCGGAGATTACATGACGGATCATTTGAAATCTAAAATAGATAACCTAATAAAATGCAGTCAATCAATAACAGTCGTTTGCAATTATTGTTTAAAATCACACTTACAACATGGTAATACATATTGCCAGGAGACGGACCAAATGTAAAATCGACAAGAGATCCATCAGTCCAAGTTCCAACACCAACCGTTCCATTCCCATAATAGCCGATCCAAGCCCATTGCCTACCACATGAATTATTGTCAGGAGTTGTGATCGGTATTTTCCTTGAGTTTGCATATACAAGATCTGAAGATAACTTGAAAGGTTGTGCTAATTGTATGAGGATTCTACAGGGTGGCCAACGAAATTGGACGCAAGGTTCTTGCCTCGTAGATGATGCCTGGGTTTATCAAAACCTATTGAACTCATATACAAAGATGTAGCAAATTTTCTGTATTTTCTGGAACTTTTACATAACTATTTTACAAGAGTTCTCCTAGTTTTTGAGTTTTTTGGATTTATAATTTTTTCTTCTTAAGGTTCTAAATTGTGTTTAGATAGCTGGTCTAACATTAGAGAAAGAATTTGCTAATATTTGCGTTGCCATCGATCTGTTGTGTCAATCCGTTGTGTACTCGTATCACGAACGTTAACCTTATGCTGGATGTTGCGTATTCTTGTTGTTGTAAGTGTTTTGGAGAAACCCGTTTAAACTTTTTTGCTACTCGGCTATTCTGAAACAAAATCATCCCCGAAGATTAAAGCGGGTCACACCCCGAACTTACCAAACACAAAATTGTTTTCGTTTTCTGAATGAATCGAGACCAAATGGGAACCCATTCTTCTGCAATTAGCCTCAGCTGTTGTGACATTGTATTGTTGCCAATAAACGCCATCAGCGTAGGTGAAATTCTAGAACTAACATTGGTGATTCAAAAGAAGGATACCTGCAAGAAATAGCAATAATCAGTTTGTTCGCTATATAGCCAGCCATCAGGACATTGAAAATCTGGAAGGCAATATGGGGACAATTTCGGTTTCATTTGACTTACCATCTCCATTGATTGAACAGAAAAATGGACGAGCAAATGAACATTCAGCTGCCAGCCAAGATCCACTTTGAGGATCCATTATTGTGCAAAGACTTGTATTGCTCGAGTTATTTGGTTCATCTAAACGATACCTAGTTAAACTTGATTAACATTTATATACAGAATCAATCAAAACTTTCAAGCAAAACTCACTGAGAGCCCAATTCTGATAAATGAGCGGTGAGCCATCAGCGTTATTCATTTTCGTTATTCATTTTCCTTTCCACTCCAATATACGGCGATAGATTGTTTAAGCCTTAAACTATTGAAATTTATGTTAATTTTGTCGCATTACCTTGCTTAGTCATTGAGAATACATAAGTGTTTTCAAAAATGTTCTGAATTTTCACTGGAACTCCGCCAAGAGATTGACAATAGCGAACGGCATCAAGGTAGAATTTGGCTGAATTGGGGATTTTTGTTTTGGTTTTTGACTGATTTTTGATTCAAAGCTTGTCTCTAATGGATTCAGTTGCTATTTTAACCGTTTTTGATTAAATTTTACGCCGTTTCCTTTTAAGAGCTTACTTTGATTAACCACAAATATGCACACATTCTCATTCGGTATTTCAATACTTCCTTCTGGACAATTATATGCATCCACGAAGCAAAAGAAACCAAAAACAAAGAAAAGCAATCGATACATTGCTGACTTTTTGGTGAAAAAGTCGAGAATTGTTTTAAGATAAGAATCTAGGTGTGAAAAGACTAGAAAAAACGGGAATTCTCGAATCGCTTATCAACTCGGTGACGTTCTGTCACACAAAGCTTTTAGGTCAAATCTGATTTTTTTTTCTTTCTAAGTCAGCAATTTGTTGCAAGGATTTATGTATTAAAATCGAGTTGAAGCCTTCAATTCATTCCAAAGAAAATCTTTGTTTGTCGGTTTTTAACTTTGACCACGATTCTCGGATCGGATTTTACAGACAAATCGAGGATACTCGTGATCCGGCCCACATCCTCAAGCCCATTCACGAGTGCAGCTATCATTTGCGATTTAAATTCGCAAACTGATTACACAAACTTTTGCAACTCACCAAGCCCATAATTTCGGTAGAGTGAACCAAGCATAATCAGCCGGAGATCCATCAGTCCAACCACCGTTCCCGTTGACGCCAATCCAGGCAAACGGCAGAATTCCCGGCATCACAAACATTTGAAACTAAAAGATCTATTGAGTCAATGCATATGAAATGTTCAGCAAAGCATTTATTCGTGATTAACCATCAAATCAATCTAAATATTTTCCATTATTTTCAATAATCTTCCCATTTTTTTGGCAGTTCTTACTAGTTCTCATATCTCATAAAAGGCCTTCGATTTTCCAGCAAAAAAAAGTCCGTCAACCACTTTTTGACGTCATCTTCGCAATTGAAGTACTACCCAACCAGCTCGTTTCTCATCGACATCTTATGTAAATTATACATTTTTGCCTAATCGAGCTTTAAATATTTGCCTTGACAATAGATTTCTCATCACCAATCGAAAGTTCAAGTTCTCCTTTGTCTTCTGTTTCTTTCAGCGTTCCTGAGTGAGCCATTGGGATCTCATTTTGGAAAGGTTGTCTTTTATTTACTTTCTCACAATCAGAAGTGCAAGTAAATATAATGACAAAAAAATTGTGCCTTGCCCTAGCTTATATATATTTTAATATTGAAAACTATTAGATTTGATTAAAAATCAAGATATCCTATTTCAGAGATCAATTCGTGATGGCCCCGATTTTGTGAAAATTGTGAAAAAGGCAAGACTCGTGAAAATTTTTGCAAAAACCCTGGGCAATTCAAAGAATCCAACGAAGAAAAAGAATCATTTTAGGTAGATTTTGTTCTTTGAAAAGCATTTTCAACTGAAAACTTTATGGTTTATGCCTTTGCGTAAATTTTTTTTTGCTTTCTTGAGAGAAATAAAGTCAAAAAAGGTGGTCGAAGAGAAAAAACTCTGTAATTGTCGGTAATTACGCTCATGCCCACTCATTTTCTTTGATTTTTTTGACAAATCTGACGGTCTAGTGTCTCTAAAGTCAATTTTTTTAAGTTTTTTGGGCCAGCAGCAACCAAAATAGCTTCAAAATTCACTCCAATGCTTTCCAAATTTCTCTCCAACTGGATTGAACTCATTCAAGTACTACTTTGGACTTCATTACTCACAGGTTTGCTGGATTATTCAACTTTACTTATAAATTTATTCATAAACTTGGATAAGTCATTTAGTTTACTGTAGCTTTCGAAAACTATCGTAATCTTGATCTTATCGTAATCGTAATCAATTTTTACGCCCAAGCTCTCGACTTTTATATGAGGCTTTATAGCACGAATTTCAGGCTTGTACTTGTTGACAACAATGGCTCTGAGCGGTCATTGGACGATGACATTTGCTGATATTTGGCTAGAACCCATTGGGTGGAGTAGGTTTCTTTGTAGATATTGTTTAGTCGAATAGTTCTATGTGCAGTACTTTAAATATTATTTTCAAATAATTTCAGCTTATCCGGACATCACCGTGAAGATGAGTGACCGAATTTCGCTATACTTGATGTACATCGCGTTTTCGGTAAAATGAAGTTCACAAGCAGTTCACATAGAGCAAGAAAGCTTTCAGTGTTACACCGTTGGAGCAATCTTGACACCAATTGCAATGTATTTTGTTGCCAGAAACGATCGACTTGTCTTTCCAATAAGGTTTCTGTTAGGATAAATTCGAGACCAGGCTTGCACGTGTTGACAACAATGGCTCTGAGCGGTCATTGGATGACACTTGCTTGTATGTCTGTAAGGGAAGCTAAATGCTAGGCTAAACCAGGCCTGGCTTTGGACAAACCTAGAAATTTTTTGTGGCTAAGTTAGGGCAGTTAAAGCCAGTTTCAGGCCTGGCCTGGTCTAAACAAAATTTTGTCTAAATAGGCCTGATTCTCTTTTGGTTGCTCTTTTCTCTTTTGGCGTGACTGGCTAAGAGCCCTATATCCTAGTCGGGAGGTCAACGGTTCAATCCCGCCAGCCAGGTTCAATTACAGGAAATACGGGATTGAACCGGGTTCAATCCCGTATTCCCTGTAATTGAACCCCATGGGGCTCTCTTTTTTCATATTCCTTCCAGGGTGGGGCTCTATTTTATCAAACATCTCTCTTCAAGAAAAAAGCAAGAAATTTGGCTAGACTATAGTTTATCCCCCCCCCAGTCTTACCATAAATTTCAAAGCAAAACGCAACAACGATGATCATATATGGAAATTTCAAAATATTTTTTCACAAATAACTAAATCAACAGATTTATCATAGCCGGGTTAAAACGAAAAACGATCAGCTAGTAAAACATTAACGATTATCCAAAACATGCAAAACCAAAAAGCAGCATGTCAAAAACAAGCAACTCTCTTCCTGTGGAGCTTTTCCAGCTGAGCCATTTGTCTGATATAGGGTCGAACACACTTTCGATCAATGCCAAAATGTTCAAACGTTCAACCGATCGATCCTTGTCTTGCTTGTTCCTCGCCCATCTTTGCCTCCGCAAGTTTTGTTGGTGTCTCGATAGCTTTCCTTTTTTTACCCCTCCTCGGCGTGTCCATATCATCTTCTCGTTCTTCTCCCATATTGACGTTGAAATGCTTTCGACTTTCTTCAAAATGTTCGTCGAGTCCGTCGTCTCGCCGCATTCGAAACATCTCTAACTCGTCAACAAACTTCACTCATCGTAGCTGAAAATTATAAGATTAGTAACTGCAAAAAGAAGCATAAAACGACTGAGAGATGATAGCAAATGAAAAAAGGTGAGGTGGGGCTTAATTACAGGAAATACGGTATATGGGGTTTTTTCCCTACATTTAGGACTTAGGGGTTGTGCTTTTGTATTTTTTGTACCACATTATTCGTGTGAATAAATGTATTTTTTAAAATAGAACTACCGTAAGTCCTCTATGAGAGCGGCACCCCTCCAGCTTAATTAACAATCGTCGGAAATTTGACGGTTTGTTCTAGAAACTTCTAGAATGCTGAAAATGACATATAAAACTTCAACCGGCTTTGTTTTTTGGATTGTGAGAAATTTGCCGGTGCTGTTTTGAACGTTTTCTATTATGGGACTGTTTAGACTACCCTCCAATTTGTCCTCTCTAGAAAATTTTTCAAAAATGTATTCTTTTATTGTTTTTTCTGTTTTATTCCATAGATATAGGCTTATATTTATATAAGTAAGTAACAGTAAAATTGAAAAAGTGGTTTTTAAGAAAAATCGAAAAATAATTTTTCCGAAAAAAAAATGACATGGATTTTTTTAGATCGACCTTGGATAGGGTCCGGGCGAGAATTTCGTTTTCATTTAAAATGTGTTTTTCGGTTGTTCTGGGGCAAACGCTATTATTTAAAATTAGCAAAAAAAATATTTGTTGAACCGTTTTAAATTGGTCCCTCCAAGCTCTTACCATTTTTTTGATGGCCGATTTTTTGAGGTCGAAAAATAGAGCGGAATGCCGCTATAATAGAGGATTTACGGTAGATCAAAAGCTAGGTCCAATCCTAGTTCTAAATAGACCATTCACTGATGAGGACCAGCTCTAACTCAAACATTTATTCAGACTTTCAGACTCTTCGCGTTTGCCGAAATTTTGACCCGTTTTGTAATTTGTCTCTACTATATGTTGCTCAATCTATGTGAGCTTTCCAATTACTGGCTACCCAAGAAAAAAAGGAGTCAAGTGGCGGTCAATGTAAGTAGTAGTTATTTAAGCCATCAAAACTGAGTGAAATGAGCAGCTGGCAATATTGAGTCACCTCAAGTTATCACTTGCACTAGTAAAATCGGTTTCAAATTACTCACAAGTTGCCAATCCTTTACTTAAGTTCAAAATTTAGCTGTCCTTCAGAGCTACTGGATGTGGTTTATTGGATTTTGAACGAGATTAATCTGTACAACCTGGTAGATGTGACTCAATATTGCCAGCTGCTCATTTCACTCAGGTTTGGTGGCCTAGGCTTAGGCTTAGGCTTAGGCTTAGGCTTGGACTTAGTGCGAAGGCTAGCGGCTAGCGCCTCGCACTAAGTCTATTTGGGTTTGGGCTAAACCCCCATTTTCTGGATCTCAGCCAGTTCCCGGAGCTATGGGACACCCGCTTGGCGATGCATCGCGCATGAGCATCGCGATGCTCATGCGCCCCCCAAAGGAGCTCTCTTGTCTCTTCTTGTCGTTACAAGAAAGGGGATTTCTATAAAATTTTGTAAATCTTGATTCAGTCCCAGTTCCGTTCCAGTCGTTTCTTTGCTCTTTCTTTCAATGGCTTATATTTCCGTCAAATCCTCAGATGGCCATTTGCACAAGTTTTACTACCATTCATTTTTCGAATCGGACTCCAGCAAATCAAAATGCTTATCGATGGCGATATGGAAACAACTCTTTCTAAAGATATCTGGAAAATCATCTTCATGTTTCCCTATTTTGTGACTTGTGCCATGGATTTCATAACGAATCGGAAAATGAAACAGGTTTAGTTGATTGGATTTTCAAACAAAATCCTTTCAGCTAAGCCAAAAGAACGAAAAAAAGGCTTCAAGAAGCGAACGACTCTTGATGACACAGGTGAATTCTTGAATCAAGAAAAACAAACTCTCGGATTTTTAGATGTTAGTCAACTCAGCTCTGACACTTGCTCAAACGATTCTACTGGATGTTTTCTATCTCATCGCGCCTTTCCTTTTCAATGATAATCTGCGAGCTCTTTTCCCGTTATGCATGCAAACTTTCAGGATATTTTGCTTCAGTTTTGCTGCAAGGTAAATTTCCTCTTATATTTTTCATTTCCTCTTACATTTTCAAACATTTTTAGTCTTGCAAGTGCTTTATGTTTTCGAAAACCAAATGAAAAATCGATGAAAGTGAACAAAGTGACGCTAACGAATCAAAATCTGAGAAAAACCAAAGAATTCATCAAATAATCAATCGAATGGATCGATATTTTGATTGTCGATTTTGTCTGCAATCTGATCTTTTCCCATCAAATTCCGTTGATCGCCGAGATCGCTTTTTGGCTGAAAATTGGAGTTCTGTTTTCTCAAACTGTTCTCTATTCTCTGTCCTCTTAAATTTTTTCAAACTATTCCAAGACCTGATTTCTCAGGCCAAGCCGAACCAAAACCAGGTCACAAAGGTCGTTTTAGAAAAATTGTTTAATCAGAACTGGCCAAAAGCCAAGAAAAGAAACCGAGCTTAACTTTTTGACGTTTTGAGTCCCATACTTAAGGCAATAACAAAAATTTCCTCACCTCATGGCTTTTCAGCTCACTTTTCTTGGGAACATCGAGCAAATGATCGAGCCATTCCTAAAAACAAATAAGATCTCATTGAAATCAGTCTGTTTAAGTTATCAGATAACTTGAACTGATTTCAATGAGCTCTGGGTTTTTTTGGTTTAAAATTTAAAGATTTTTCTCAATCTTTAAGAACTAAAGCCTCAAGAACGCTAAATTTTAATCTAAATTTAATCTGAAAGAGATTGAAATCAGTTTTGTGAAGACTTTACTTCAAGATTTAACTCACCCGTTCCCGGTCAGCAATGAGATTTTTAACATTTGGATGCATCTCGGATTGATTTTCCATTTTGCGTTATGAATTCAGTTGAATAATTGAAAGCTCAGTTGATAAATGATTTGAGAAAAAGCTTTTGGCAGAGACACCCTTATAGCAGCTTTGTTCTTGTCAAAATTCTTGGTCTCTTTCTTTGTGTTTGCTGTCAAATCTCTAGTGAATTTGCCCTTTTCTCGAAAACAGCAGTCTAATCAACAAGTTCTTGTGAAAAGGAAATGGATTAAGGGCTAAGAATGAAAGAGAAAGAGAAAGAAAAAGGCTTAAGCTGTAATTTAGCTTATGAAATCAATATTTAGTGAAAGTAAATCCTTGAAATTGTTCCTTCTAGTTTGGTTCTACTTCTGATCCGGATTCATAAGCTTTTAAAAAACCCGCTTGCAAATTTTGACTCAGATTTACTCATTGAAACAGTCAAAACTTTGTCGCTTTCTTGCAAATACCTGATCAAATGCACGTTCATTCCTGGCAAGTTATTTCATTTTTATTCCTATCCTTTCAGATAATCTTCAAAGGAAGTCGGAATTGTTGTAAATCTGCAAAATAGAAATGATTTAGTTAAAGCAAAAATTAAATAGATTATAAGCAACAAAGTTTTCATTCTCGAATGAAAACACCGCTTTCGCCAAAGCTCAGCTCAGAATAATTTCCTCTCTTATTGAATGAACAATTCGCTTTGATGTACAAAAGCGGAAGGCTCAAAATGACGAGATTCATTTGCATTTATCGAATAGAAAGCCATCTTTTGCAAGAAAACAATTTATTCATCCAATAAACTGGTTTAGGCCACACGCTCCTTCTTCCAAACCTTTGCTAATAGTCTCCCACAAATCGAAGCTTTTTAGCTTGCGTTGTGAAGGGCATCTAAATCTTTCGTCATTGTAAATTCTAGATGAATATTGCACTCAGATTTTCGAGCTTCGATAAACGTTCTAAAGATCACCTGGCTACAATAATCCCTAAATGAAATGCAATGTAGAGATTCTGCTTCTGATATTAATAAAAGAGAAAGATTAGCTGTGACTTTAAGTTGTTACTGTCAGTTACAGAAGGCAGGCACGCTTTAGAGCGGCTATTTAAAATACAAAATTGAACCCCGGCTATCAGAGATAAAAAGAACCCGGGATTTTTGTGCAATTGATCCAAATGATTTGACAAACATTCGACGAACACTTTGTCGCATTGACACAATGCCATTTTACATTTGTCGTTGTCAGCTAGATTGCAATTGCAAACTTTTCCAAGAAAATCCTGGGTTAGCGCTTTAAAGCATGGTACCTCTCCTAATGAAACAAAGCCCGCAATTTCAATCTTTTTGCGTATTTCTGCACTTAAGCATCCTCACGCTGCCCATTCTGATTCTGTCTTCCAGTAATTATTCTGAAACAATCATGATTTTTTTTTAACTGAACTGGTATGCAAGGTATTTAAGCAACTTCTAGGTATGTAAAGAAAGATGTTTCTCTATTTTCTACCAAGAACTCGGCAAGTTTCATTTTTTTTCTTTTATAAAACCATCTTGCAATGTCGAGTTAATTAAAGTTCGAAGAATTTTTGAGCAAAAAAATAAAGATATAGATATTACTTTTGTAAGACGATTAAAATTGCACACCCATATGTGAATAATGTGCCATTTGCAAAGAATTTTCTTCATTTTGAATGTACCGAATCCGTCTGCAAACCCCCAAAAAGTTTTGTCATCATCACTGATAAAGAATACAAAGAAAACCACATCAGAAATACGTAAAAAGAATTATATGAAATGAAGAACAAGAATGAAAGAATGAAATTGCGCTTTGTTTTATACCTGCAAATTAGTACGATAGTTTTACCACGTTTTAAAGCGCTAGCCCAGAACTTTCTTGGAAAAAGTGCGTAAGTTAGATTTTTTTGGTTGGTTTCTGAATGGTTTAACTTACGATCACAAGACGGCTTATTGTTAACACATTGCCAGCGATATGGTGTAGTGTATAGATTGTCGTTTGAACAGTCCTGTAAAACTAGCGATAGTGTGCTAGAGCAAGTTTTCAGTTTGAAGCCTTTTTTTACTCAATAAAAGAATTTTTAAGATATTTGCGGCTATATTGGTAAGGATTTTACAGATTTTAAGATAATACGATCAGTGCCGGTCCTTAAAGTCATCAGCAATAGTTGCCAGGACATGTTGATGAATTGGCTTTGGAAAGCAACACAACATTTTCAAGGTCAACTCCAGGACAGGCTAGGCCAAGCCAAAAACATGAATACCTTTGGACTTTGAGCCTGGTTCGACCCTTTGTCTGGCCTGAAACTTGATCCTAGACCCAGTTTGGTTTACAATTTTTAACTTAAGACTTGTCAAACAAAAGCAAATCACTCTTACCCCTGCTTGTGCCCGACTATAGCAATCGTCGTGTACTTTGCAACATCTAAACTCTCTTTATTCAATGTTTTCTTTCGATCACCACACCCATCAAAGTCATTTTGTGCCTCCATACCAATCTGACCCCGGAATGGACCACAAAAACATCCGTAGTTCAGCAAATCAAAGTTCCCCCAGCCAATTTTGTTCATGCAAAGATTCATCTACACCAATTGTCCTATTCAAATTAAAAGCTGATCACTCACACATCCCAAATCAACGCCGTTTGCCTTAAGCAATAAAAAGACAGCGTTAGCTAAAATAAATTGAAAGAAAAACGTCATTTTAGCCAAGTAAAAATGATTGATCCTGAAAATAGCCAAAGTTAAAATTTGCCACAAAGATGGTAGAGAATTAATATAAAGTAAAAATAGGCAATTCAAGGCGTGATGCAGAAACAATTTTAGCCCAAAAACATCGAAAATCGAAACGGGCAAGTTTTGTGTTCTCTTCGTTTCCTCGAACGCGGAAACTTCCGATAAAACCGTTTGTCTGTCAACTGTATCGTAGATAAATTGTAGAGAATCCAGCCAAGAACCGAAAAGCATATTTATTTTAAAGTTATTTATTTATTTAAGTGCATTAGTTTATTCAAAACTAATTCAAATTTTAAATATTTTAAGAAGGGGTCACCGAATTGTCGTAAGGTAGGTGTAGTAATATAATTGTTTGATGAAATTTTATTCCCGGTAAATCTTTTAAAATATTTAATTGATAAAATTTTTGGATTATTAGGTTGGAAAGAAAGCTCTCGGAAAAGTTTGACTGGAATCCTAGCTATTTAAATCCCAGCCATTTCTAGGTTCCCTGGGATGGACGACACTGCGAAAGATTGGCTTGTTGGCGGATGGCACGAATGGCACAAGTGGTTCTAATTTAAAAGACGATACTACAAAAAAAATTACAGAAATCCTAACATCACAGTATCTAACCCTAAATTCTTAGAACTTTGGTTTAGTCAGAGCCTTTAGATGCGGAGGAGCGGCTGAGAGACGAATGCATGTGTGGAGAAAATTACATTGGAGAAAAATGTGATCAGGTTCATTGTAACGAATTCTTGAGAGTAACTTGCCAATTATTTTGAACTATCACTTCCCGAGGTTGATAAACAAGAAAATTTGTACAAGAAGTCATGGCAAATTTTTAAATAAAAGGAACCAAGCAACTGGTCAAAGATTTTGAGGGAATTGTTGCCAAAAAACGGCAAAAAAACGATGAGTGACTAGCGGGAAATCAATTTTTTCCCCTTTTATGTGTTCTTTCAAAAGGCTTACAATAGAAAAAACAAAAACAAAAAGAGAACGAAGTTTTACAACTTTTACGGCACAAATGAAGGCAATCGGTGAAACTATAATTCTTGGATACCAAAGCAACCCAAATAGTACAATTACACTCAAAATGCTTTCAACAATTAAACGATTAAAGAATTGACTGCTCAATTACAGCTGGCAATGAACAAATACCTGCCGGACATCGTTAATAAATTGCTCAAAGCTTTTGGCAAAGTTTGGCCAATTTAAGAATGTTTACTTAACATTTTCTAGCTCTGGCCTGGCTTCAGAACCTTCAAACCTTTCGATCCAATCTAAATGTACAGTTTTTTTTGTTAATTCATCTAGTAAAGTGAAGAGATCAATAACATTTATGACAAAGACCCAAATAATGGACATGTTTTTGGACAAAATATAGAACAGTCAATAGGCCGAACAATTCATAGAAACAAATGAGCATCGAAGTGTAAAGTGGATGTTTTTGTTGATGATATTTGTCGAGAATATGGTAGATTATGTGAAGCACTGTCAAAATGATTGAGATCACCTTAACAATGACTTTGTGAGTGATTTGAAAAAGATTTTCAACTCACCAAGAAAACCATAAAAGCCATCAGCAAGTTTCTTCGCTTGAAGATGACAGCGTTCATCAAAATGATACAGAAAACGATGTATGAAAGGGGGACAATTGTGCCCAACACTTCGTGCACTAATTCCAATGGACTTATTGAGAAATATCCTTGCAATGATCTGTGAATTAAGATAGACATTTTCTTTCAAAGAACTTGCTCTTCAATCTCGCCGAGGTTGTAATTGAGCCAAAACACCATGTCGACGATGATGAATTGGATGGAGAAAATGAGGAGGAAGACCTGAAACTGCTATGATTGAGCATTAAATGGAAATGATAATAAAAAAATACCAAAAACATCTGTCGCTTCTTTTTTGCCGTTGGCAATTGAAGGTTTTTCATCTCTTTAGTAGATCTTACTAAGCCTAAGCCAAAGCCAAAACTGAGCAATCAACCTGCTACTACCTCTTAAATTTCTCTTTAGAATTTAGACCAATTGAACACAAAGCTGGTTCTAGCAGAAAACTGGTAGTAGGCTTGTTCAGCTAGCAGCAATTCTTGAGCTCGCTTTAACTTTTTAAAAACTAACTATGAGTTTAGTACTAGCAATAGTCGACTATCAAAGTGGTTATCCGACATTTGATACGCGCCCGCCTCTTTTACCATTGGCAATCTGACTTTGAGTTCAAATAACTTGTTGTTGGGCTCTTCAATTTAAATATTCTTGGTATCATTAGATGCGTCAAGTCTTTTTCTGTTGATCGGTGCAAAAACTCTTTAAATTGGGCCGCTCAAAACTAAGATATCTGAGCTCAAAGTTGGATTGCCAATGGCAAAGGGGCGGAGCCTCGCGTATAAAAGGTCTCTTCTTACCTTTTGAGCGGCTCGATTCTTTGCCCAACTCGTCGCTGGAATTTTCTGTAAAATTGAGATTGAGAAGAGATTTATTGTAATTTTCTTACACAAAAATGATACTTATCCGGTGGGAAAGTCAACGGGAACGCTGGATGGATGATTGATGAAGCTTGAGTTGAAGAAATCGATAAATTGGCTACAGATTTGTGAAGGATTTCAACGAAAAGACCTACCATAATCAGAAATTCGCAGTGTTTCGTACATTTTAAGATTTCTACGCAAAATTTGACTAGCTGGCGCCTGCAAAGGTTCAGAATTTAAATATCAATCGGACTTATTGCTAAAATGTAGGGCTAGCTGAAGATCGCAGACAAAAATATCAATAATGAATTATAAAAACATTCTTAGCAATAAGTCTTTGCGTAAAGTTATCATAAACTGCTGTGTTTGTTGGGTTTTTAAAAGTAAACAGATAACAAAAGAAGAACAAACACGTCATTTGAAAAGATTTGGGAAAAACAACTTCTAAAGTAGAATTTCAAATCTGTAAACTTCTATCCTTAATCTTTTAAGAACATATTCTCATGCAATTATTACTTGTGACTCAGGCTCAGGCTCAGGCTTAGGCTTAGGCTTAGGCTTTGAATGAATTGAAACCAAATGAGCTTTCTTTGACAATCACTGACAATTCGCTTCAGTTGCTGTCCAATTGTAAAGCTGCCAGTGAACTGAGTCAGGATAAATGAAAGTCTAAATTGACCACCGTTTTTTATTCTTTTTCTGTTATAATTCCTTTATAACTTTATATAGTTCTTTATTATAGCTTTGATTGTAATCTAATCATTTAATTCTTTTAACTCACCTGAACCGAATAACAAGTATCATTGTCTGAATTGTACATCCAACCGTCTGGACTTTGAATAGCTATAACTCACAAAGATTATTATCATTATCAAAGATTAACCAATCATTTGCATCGAGGAGTGTACAGACACCTAATATACGTTGCTTAAATCATTCAACAGCATTCCATTGTCCCGTTTTCTCGTTCATCATTGTGCAAGAGTTGTTGATCTCGTTTTTTAGCATCTGAAAAGTGATAGCAAATAAAATTGTTGAATCTAGGCTGCTGCAGGGTCAAATTCGGTACTGACGGGATAATAGGCCACCATACTAGTTACTTTTCTGGGTAAGGGACATATTCACCACTGACTGAGTACGGTGTTGGTTGAGTTTTGTACTTAACTGGATATTATACTTGACTAGATACTGTAGCTAACAACAAGGACTGTATCCAGTTGAGTACTGTGCTTAACTGGTACGATTGGATACTTGGATGTGTACTGTCCTTATAATATTTTATTACCTGGTGTCCGATTGTTGTATGCGAGCGGTGTTCCAGCAGTGTACGTCCAATCTTTAGTGCTTCCCTTTTCAATTCCTAAATAGATATTCCATAAAATTTGCATATTCTGGTCAATATTTCCAACAAACATCCAGCTGATTGGTATTCGAAAAGGTTGCTCTCAAAAGAGTTTTGAAGCAAAAGCTTATCATTTTCCGACTTTTCTTTCATTTTCTCATTATTTTTGATGCGTGTAAGTTTTTTGATCTTTAAAGGAACGATTCAGGGTTCACAGAATTTACGATTTTTTGTATTTTCTTTTAGAGAGAAAGTAGCTGATAGTTAGAAGGATGCGTTGAACCTGCTCTACTGAACTCTTTGAATTCGAAAATTTGTCCATCGAACTCTTTACAGCTTCTAGATAACAGAAAAGACAAAACTTTCAAAAGGATTCCTTAGTTTATGAGACAATGGAGTTAAAAGGTGTCATCAGGAAATGAGAAAACCTTTAATAAATCAAAATTTTACCAAAAAACAAAGTTGAGAAACTGAAATTTACTGAACATATGCCCTTACATATTCTACTTACTTATTTTTCTTTCGATATTAATACTTTAGTCCAAAGAACACTAAAAAACATGTATCCAACTGCTCTGCGTAGGAACAAAAAGTGGATAGAGAAACAGGTGCTCACTCCAAACAGGTGATACTGATTTTAACTTTTAGTTTTCCTAAAGTTTTCCGACCAAATAGGATTTTCGTTTAAAATCCGAATCAATGCTCGATGAGCCATCGATTTATTTATGGTACGAGTCTGGGATAACAATCATTTCAACTCCTCTCAATATTTTCACTTTCTATTGCATTCTGCGGAAAACACCGCCAGAAATGCGAGAATATCGTCCGCATCTTGTTCTTTATCAGGTAAAGTCAAAAGAAGGTACACTCGACTCTCTTAAACGGATATATAGCGGAAAACTCTCTATAAAGGAATGGAATGGATTTTTGGTCCCGACGCTAAGCTACAGCACCGGACAAAAGCTGTCAACCCGGTGCCGGTACCCTACTTTGAACGCTATTTTGAGACATATAACCGCAAGAAAACCCCAGAACATCATATATTTTCTGAAAGCCCAATTCAAGCTCTACAAAATACATCTATTATCTTTTTAAAATACAGCGTTTTTTGATGCATTTCAGATCACGCAAAGTGAGGTGTCAAAAACATTATTTTCAAAAGCGGACTTCTTTGGTTTTCAACGCTCAATCGTTCCAAAACCCATTTTTTAGAAAGCTCGTAAAAAATTACCCTGGTAAAAGTGGGTTTCAAATGCATCAAAAGACGCTGTATTTTCAAAAGATAATTGATGTATCATGTAGAGCTTGAATTGGGCTTTCAGAAAATATCTGGTGTTCTGGGGTTTTCTTGTGGTTATATGTCTAGAAATAGCGTTGAAAGTAGGATACCGGCACGGGCTGGACAGACTTTTGTCCAGTACTTTAGTTTAAGTTTTAACAATTTTATTTCATGACTCTCTGTGATAGTTTAAACGCGATTTATTTCAACAAACAAACAAATACTTATAAAAACTGATGAAAATTACATTTATAAAATAATAAAAATTTTATCATTTTATCAATAACAAAATCAAAAGTTCTATTCAAGTCCGAGCTCGAACCGGGGCCAAAAAGGCTAGCGATTAGTTTGGTAGCCTACCGCACTTACCACTTGATCACGTTGAGATATCTTCACAAGATCGCTTGATACTCGCGCGGTCAGATAAATAGCGCAAGAAAACTGCTTTTTTACACACAAACTTGGAACGTTTTCAAGTTTCAATTTTCAAATGGTGTCCTGGGGTTTTCTTGCGGTTATATGACTTAAAAATAGCGTTGAAAGTAGGGTACCGGCACGGGGTTGACAGACTTTTGTTCAGTACTGTATATATAACGGCACTCTATATAACGGAAAACTCTGTATAACGGAATAATTTTCGGGAAAGACAGCATTGTAGATGGGGTAGACAGGTCACGGCTTGATTTTTGAAACTTCTTACAAAACTTTAAACCCGCATAACTTTTGACAGAGTGCTCCTTAGCAGAAACAGAAACGGAGATTCGGAATTAGCGTGAAATTCTGCGTCGAATGGCTCATGTGATTTGGCCAACATATCCAGTTGGCCTTCCCTGATCAGTCAGATTTTGAGGGCTTCCGATTGCCAATTTCCAATATGATAACATTTCCAATCAAAGCATTATAACAATCGTGGACAATTCTGAAAACTGCCGTATCATTATAGAAATTTCCACTTTCTCACTTGATTTACACATTCACTATCCATTTGATTCTTTAGCGAATTCTAATAAAAGACATTTGAATGTAGAGTTATGATAGTTTTCAGAGTTGAAGTTACCACTTAGAAAAGAATTATCCTAATCATCCCCACTTTCCAGATTTTCATCCTCCTCTGCGATTTGGTGCTCGAATCGATTCGCCCCGAGCTCAATTTCCCCTGTCTCTCCGGACGAATTTTCGGCATCTGGGACTCGATTTTTAATTTAGGAGCAGGAAATGCATTGGTAAGTGAAATTCATGTCTAAAAAGCCATTCTTTCCCAGGCATCTGGCAGTTTTTTCGTCGGGTCGTTCAGCTCTGCAGTCAATGTAATGTTCTTTTACAAATGGCAAAGCCTACTCGCAGAGCAACATTTTTTCAAGTAAACAAGCTCCACGTTTACTTATAAATTTCTCGACTTCAGATTACCCGCTTTTGGCCGTATTCTCTACATGATCATCTTATATCTTTTTCCCATTTTCTTAGCGATCGGCTTTCGGTTGCTTCCGATTCAGAAAGGAGCGGAGAGCGAGTTTTTGACGGAGTTAGTTGAGGTTGGTAAGGGAAAAATGAGTAATCGATTTGATGTAACATCAAAACTGAACTTGTAATAGATGATTATTGAAAAAGCATAATTGGGTTACTGTAGCACAAGTGATTGGCTAAACACTGGGTAACTGTAGTACCCTTAATTTCACCTTAATAACTGCAGTACCCTTAATTTCACCGACTTTCAAAACAAAACCATCATGTGAAAATTACGATTACGATTAAGCTACAAATTCGAGTTTTCAAAAAAAACTAGTCTGGAATTGCGTTTGCTAGTGAAAAATCTATAGATATATTAAATTTGACACAGAATGGTTTTTTTCTTTCGAAAATTTTCATGTCAAGAAAGAAAAAAGGCATTGACCGGGAGCGAACCAGGGCCAAACAACTGGCGCGTCAAGTTACTAGCCACTCGATTTTTACGTATTTTTAGGTCCTCTAAAACTGCGTCTTATTACGGCGGCTTCTAAAAATAAAGGATTTTTTAGGGACAAATTTAAAATCAAATTATTTCCAGAATTTAAACGCAATACACAAAAACTAGTGTCGATAAGCACTCTAATAGCCTTTAAAATTATATATGTCGTAGCCGTTAACGAACGGTTAGCGGCTGAATTTCGTAAACGGCTACGACATATATAACGATATTTTTCTTTGTTTTTCAAAAAAGCAAAAGTTTCTCAAGGGTGGGATTCGAACCCACGAAAAAAACGGAGTGAGTCGGTTTCGCAGTCCGGCACACCAACCCCTAAGCCACCGCTGCTTGTTCTTCCCCTCGTGTGACGCGCTCTTATTGGCTAGGGGCGATTCCACCATGGTTCTGATACCGGTCTGGTTTTTGCCTAGGAATTTCAGTGAGTCAAGTTTGCAGTGAAGGACAGGCTAAGCAGGTAAAATGCAAATTGCCTACAGAAAAACCCTCAATTTGCCTATCTTCAAAACTATCCGGATATCTATGCAAGCAAATTGGTACCAATCTATCCACCGTACATCAATTTCCCTGTCATCAACTTTCTTCTCCTTTGGATTGTTCTTTATGGTGTCATTTGGATGTCGACCATGGTGAGTTTCTAGGGAAAACGGAAATCAGTTCTTGTAGAATGTAATCTACACGATTCTTTGCAATAAATTGATCAACGATTTGTTTCATGGACATTTGAGCAAAAAGACCAGACTGCAACAAAAGAAACTTTTGACAGCACTCTCCATTCAGGTGATCATTGATGGGATTCATTTTCACAATTTCTTTTCAAGCTTTGAAATTTTTACTTTTTCTTTCTAACCAGAGACAAATTGTCTTTTTTGTCTCTTTTTTTTGTCTTTGGTCTTTTTGTCTCTAAGTTTGAACTCGGATTTAAGCCGAAGTTTTCCGAAAGCCAGGCTGTACTGTAGGCCTCTTACGGTAGACTTGGTTCACAAAGGCTTACCAGAAGTTAGGTTTTCATTCTAACTGATCTAAGTCTGGAAAGTTGGCTTTGATGCGGGTTCGGCTTAGTTTTCAGGCTCTGGAGTCCGATTAAAACTTTCTTTTCAATACACTGCTGCTCTGGACACCATTTTTCATCCAATCCAAAACTATTAGACTGTCCAGAAAATCTTTTTGTTCCTTCATAGTTTCGTTGGAAAATAACAAATAAAGATTAGCGCCAAGAGGAATCGAACCCGGCTGCCAGGCTGGATTGGTAGCTGGCGCCTTAGACCACTCAGCCACCCCAGCAGAGAATTTTTCTTCGGATAGCGCTCAGTTTTTCGATTTTTAAAATTCAAAAACGTAATCCTTTTTAAAAACTAATATTATAGTTTTAAGCTAAATACTCTGGGCTATCTTTTGAGCCAAAAGTTTCTCTGGACTGTGATAAAGGGGCTCAAAGAAAAAGTACCTCAAAACGTCACAATTTGCATTTTTAAGGAAAACAGCTGAAGGGATCAAAAAAAAATGGACCAAATGGAAGATAATAAGACTCAAAATAAAGATAATAAGCTCCTAAGCCCCAAAAGTACAATACCCCAGGACATTGATCAGTAAATTCTACATATTTTGTCTACCCAACTTCATGCTCCCAAAAAAATCCAGATATAAGACATTTTAAACCCGTTTTAATGTAATTTTGTAGAAAAATAATTAGCCTTTCTAATGAAATAAGCCGTAGTTCAATTGGTCCATTTGTTGGTTTTAAAGTTTTAAACGGAGGGAAGGAAAAGACTTTCTGAACAGCTTAAATCTCAATTTCCAGACAGCAATTCCCCTAATTTCAAGTGGATTGCCTTGGTTCTACTATGGCACAATCATTGGAATCGGACAAACAGAAATCAAACAAAGTAATTTCAGTTCAAGAGCAACGCAAACTATTCCATTTCCAGCCTTGAATAACATCGCTTTTGCCTTTCTCGGATCTCATGGCACTCAATCATCACTCGCTTTGTTAGTCTTAACTGAACCCTATCGAGTATTTCTTTTACGATCTCTTCAGAAAATTCCCATTCTGAAGAGATTAGCAACATTCTACCTGACGAAAAGAGGAAATGTCTTTGTTGTTCCATCTACTTCAAACAATACCCGTACCGGAGTTCAAACCTCCTGAGACCGGAGATTAAATTTTTTTCATTCAATTCAGCATTTTAATGGTCAATCTGTTTTGAGTATTTCAAATTGAGCAAACTTTTATCTTTGAAGTCTAATAAAGTCGACTTGTGGTAAATTTTGTGAAATCCAAAGTATCAATCTTGTGCTTTAACCTCAAGATCTGAAACTTAAACCTCAAACCTTGATGCAGCTTGATGCAGAGAAAATAACAAGACTGATATCCAGAAACTCTCCATTTTTGGTGGTTTCTTTGAAAAAACTGATAGAATGAAAATGGAAAGTGTAATGCTTGCTTTAAAGGGACCCGCCCCTTTAATCCTGGCCTATTCTCACTAAAAAAATTTTTCGAGAAAGTTTATTTATTTCGTGTTTATTTGTTAGATTTATTGTTAGAAATGATAAAAATTAATTGGCAAAATGAATTTGAGCTCAAAATAGAGTTTATTCACATTTGGCGTGGCCAACCTTTTAGGGCTTTTTCTGGATTTTGTATTTTCTTTTCGTTTTTTGGTGCTTTTATATGTGTCATAAAAGTTTAATTTCAGGTTAAACAATGTCGGATGAGGCGGAAGTCATCTCGAAGCTCAAGTGTCTTCTGGTAGAATTCAAACAGACGGATTTGCTGCTTCAACATTGTCACCTTTGTGGTCGGACACCTGATGGAAAAACGGAAAAGGGAGAAACATTCCGTGGACAGAAAAAGTAGTGGAAAAAGTGGAGAAATAATGAGGCTATTGAAAGAAAAAAGAACCACAAACCAGGAAATCCATGAGTAGATGATGAAAATCGAGATGATGAAGTGGAAGCAATGAGTGGGAAACTATGGAGAGTTTTTGAACTTGAGTGATGTTGATTCAAATGATGAGTCATTTTTGATGTATAGTTATGCTAAGAGTTTAAATTCCCGGTCTGCGCATACTGAATCAAATTGGTTTGTACGAGGACTGTTTCCTCTCTAATCTTTTATCCGGGCGGAGATGCTTTCTCCTTAATTGATCGTGATATCTGATCACAATCAACAAACTTTTTCCCAAATTGACGTGCAATCTGACCAATCAACTTGAAAAAAATAGTTTTTATTCAGTTTACAAGAAGTGTATCTCCGTCGTATGAATGAAAAAAGAAGCGAAATTCTGGCAACAAGCAATTAAATAAAGCAAACCACGTTAAAGATATTCAGTAAACGGGCTAAATGCTCTACACGAAAATTAGCAATTAGAAAATTCCGGCTTTTCTTTCATTTTCTCATCATTTTGATGCGTGTAAATTGTTTGGTCTTTAAAGGTCCGATTCAGGGTTCACTAATTTACGACGTTTTCTTTTAGAGAAAAAGTAGCTGATAGTGAGAAGGATGCGTTGAACCTGCATTGAATGATTTTAAAAATATCTAGCTCAGTGATGGATCTGTTTGCAAACTCTAAAAGTTTACAACCATTTTTTCATACCATTTACAGAAAAATGAGGATAAGTTGAACTCGATGGCCACAATTTCCACTGTACACAGCGAATTCTGGAGGCTTTTCATCCAAAGCTGGATCGGATAAAGATCCTGCGGAAAATTTCGAATAGATCACTGTAATTTACCTCAAGTAAAAGACTCAAACTTATAAAATTTATCAAATTCAAAAGATTTCCAATAAAATTTTGAACCCTTTTGTTGGAACTGCAAAGTTTATAGGTTTTACTGTGTGCACGATCTTTGTTTTAATATCCTTCTTGCAAATTCCAAAGTAAGAGCCATGAAATCGTACAATTTCTGTTCAAAAATGACGAAAATATTGTCTCTTATCATTGAAATGAAAAAAAGTGATATCAAAATACTAACCCCGAAGTTGGTATTTGACATTGAGAAAACGAAGAAAAAGAACGCAATGAGAAAAACTGGCTTTCAATTGAAAAAAGCAAAAATTTGTCCTAGAAAAAACTAGCTTATTGATAAAAATGTACAATTGCAGCTCTTTATTTTTGAAATCAAAGCATTTTATCTTCTATACAACTGTGCTAAACGTAAAATTGTATATTTAGAGCTAAGCAGGAGAGCTAAATGGCCAAGATCTCACTGGATCTGACTGGAAATCGTGAGTTTAACTGTTATATTGCCGGCTTTGATGTTAAACGGGCAACCAAACTGGAACCTGCAACCATTTCTTTTTCAGCAGTTGATGTGGCAAAACAACTGCTTCCCGTGCCTCCAGATGGTGGTTATGGATGGGTGATTGTAATGGCTGCTTTCTTCTCGAATCTCATCGTTGACGGGATTTGCACTTGTTTTACAGAGTTCAAGCAGAGTTACAAAGATGAATTTAAGGTAAAAATAGACTTTATCTGTCAGATGGGTTAAGCTAGAAGCTAGAGTTAAGCTAGAAGCTCATTTACAAAAGCTAGAACTTGCTGAGTCTTGCTAGATCCAAGATTTCAAGCTCAACTCGAGCATCACAAGCTAATCTAGTCAATAGTAAATTAAGAAATCTGAAAAGATTGGCTATCAAGTAGACTAGACTAACAAGAATAAACTTGAGGTGAGTCTGAGTCGTTCATTGAACGAATTATCTAGCTGCTGGGTCTATAAACACTTTCTGAGCTCAAAAATCTCCACTTCCAGGGCTCAGATGCTTCGACAGCTCTCATCGGTTCACTCCTAATTGGAGTCTACTTATTTGTTGGTTAGTGAAACAAGACAATGAATTGTTTTGAGTACTACTCAGGTCCCATCGTTGGTGCAATGTGCAACAAGTTAGGCGCCCGGAAGACGGTAATCATTGGATCAATCATCTCTGGCTGTGCCTTCATTCTGGCGACTTTCTCTCCAAATCTCACAATCTTCATTACAATCTATGGGATATTGGGTGGCATTGGTTTTGGGATGATTTATCTACCAGCCATCGTTGTGGTTGGGTATTATTTTGAGAGCAAAAGGTGAGCAAAGTCATAAGAAGTTCAGTTGTACATCAAAATTGCCCGTTTAGAGCCATAGCTACAGGAATGGCGGTGGCTGGTTCGGGAGTTGGCACAATGGTGATGCCATTTGTCGCTCGATACGCTATACAATGTACGTACTAGTGCAGTTAGTCCTGATTTGATTTCTCTAGCCGATGTCTTACTTTGTTAGCTAATCCTTTGCTTTTCAGATTTTGGTTGGAAAGGAGCTGATTGGGTGTTAGCCGGCTTGATATTTATGTGTATTTTCTTTGGATTATTGTACAAAGAGTTGACGCCACCAGCACTTGAAACGGTCAATGATGTTGAAAAGAAAACAAATGAAAAGGAGGTGCAGAAGTATTTATATGCTGATAAAATCGGTTCAGCCAAATGACACAGTTATCAATTTGAATGGTGAAGCGAACAGGGACAAGATGATGGAGAGAATGAGGAATGCGTTGTCACAATGCGAAGACGATGAAAGTGTTTTTGCCGATTCTTGGGTAATAGATTAAATCATGTTTTTTTAAAGAATAAGCTAATCAGTATTGTAGTTAGGCTTGTAATCACTGTACTTCTAAAATTCACTAGCAAAATTAGACCAAAATTGGTGTATTACCAACAAAATTAGACCAAAATTGCTTCATTATCAACGAAATTAGGCATAAAAAGAGCTGTACAATAAGCTCTTCTGTAGTTAGACTTGTAAACATTTACTTTAGATTTTAAGAGCTACTATAGATTTGAAAGTCACGGTAACTTTGAAATTAGTTTTAGTTCCTAAATCAATCACTAAGCTTACGATTAGGTTTAGGCAAGAGAAGCAAATGATGCAGGAAGAATCGGAAATGAACTCTCGCAATGTGATGAGGATGATGAGATGTCGTTTGCTAAATCATGGGTAATTCTCGGCAAACATTTGATGATTTGATGATAAATTGTTGAGTTTTCGATGCTTTTTGCAGGCAAAACGCCAAAAGAAAGCAAGCGAAGCTATTTCGACGGAGAGACGTCCAAGTGGCGCCTTGTCACAATGTGATGAGGATGAAGAGATGACTTTTGCGCAGTCATGGGTAATTTATTAATATAAATCTATATCTATAAAGGACATTACTTAAATCTACTCCATACTTCTAGGCTAAAGCAATTGCTGAGCGCAAAAAGCAACCAAACGATCCACTGGCAAGGGTGAGAAACGAGATCTCCCAGTGTGAAGATGGAGAGAATGGATTTGCGAAATCTTGGGTAACTTTTGGCAATTTAGAACTTAAAAAATGTTTAAATTGAGATTTCTGGATATTTTGGCATTTCTGGATGGCAGTTAAACTTTTCAGGCGGGAATGAGAGCCCGACGAGTCAGCAGTAATCAACGGCAGAGGAAGGTCACTTTGACAGGGTATGAACGAAAAGAATTTGATTTAAAAATCATTCCACGAGCTTTTTAGTGTGTTTTTAAATAGAATATATTTATTTGCTTAAGTAATTCAAAGCCAGCTTCAGCAAAAGTCCTCAAAATCGATAGATTTACAGTGTCACCGAGGAGCTCACTCAACCGACTGGCGTTCTCGCGAAAAGTCTCAAAGATTTGCGTGTGAATTTGACTGTAAGCTTTTGTAAAGCATAAAAACAAGTATTTCAACAATGTAAGTTCATCTAAATCAACTTTTTTAGGGCCTCGAAGCAGAAGAAATCGCAAAGCCGCTGAACAGACAGGACATTCTGTACACAGGATCGATACGCAGATTGAGTCAATACAAGAAAGAAGGTAATTATCAAGCTGTCTTAATAGTATCTCTAAACTTTCCGTAATCATAATCTTATCCCTTTTTCAGGAGGTGCTCTCTCGTATCGTGCATCGATCACCACGATTCCACGAAAGATTCTTGATGAGATTCCTTTGGTTGAAGAGAAGAGGTGAGCTAGTTGACAGTCTTCTTGAATTTTGTCATTAGCTGCATACATATCAATCATGCTTACAGTATCTCTTTAGCAAGTGTAAATTGTTCGGCTTGAGGACCATTTTCGGTGAGATGATCGACTTGGAGTTGATGAAGGTGAGGCTCTCTGGTTAATCCATCGCATTCTCTGTCTCTTAAACAAAGCTGAATCCCGTTTAGGACCCAACAATGATTCTTCTCTGCATATCAAATCTCCTCGCGAACCTTGGGTATTTCACTCCATATGTGTTTCTTAAAGATTTGGCTTTATCAAAGGGAATTCCTGAGAGTGACACCATGTACTTTGTGCCGGTGATTGGGGTGGCGAATACGATTGGTACGTGAATCAAGTGTAAGCTGCTAACCAGAACTAGTCTTGAGCCTTTTTCCGAGAGTCTGACTAGTCAATTAGTTCAAAATGAGCCATATTTTACTCAAAAGAATGTAGGATTATTGGAGATTTGATGCCCCGCACCTTCTGCCATTGGCAATCTAACTTTGAGCTCAAATATCTTGGTGTTGGTCAATTTAAATATTCTTGGTATCATTAGATGCGTCAAGTCTTTCTCTGTCGATTGGTACAACCACTATTTAGCTTGAACAGCTTACCACTAAGATCTTTGAGCTCAAAGTTGGATTGCCAATGGCAAATGGGACGGGACTTGTATCAAATGTCTGACAATCTTTTGAATCACAGCTTTCCAATGAAAACATTCTAATCAAATCTACTGCTGAACTAGTCCTACTGAATTAGCCAACATGTCTAGAATACAGTAATCCTTTGTTCTATGGTCTGGTTATTCCAGGAAGAATCCTTTCTGGGTGGTTCGCTGACCGTCAATTCGTCTCCTCTCTCAACATCAACAACTTTTCCCTTGTCGCTTGTGGAGTTCTCTGTCTTGGTGCTCCTTTCTGTACCACTTACATGAGTCTCATGATCTATGGAGCACTCTTTGGGTTCATTATTTGTAAGTTCATCAGATTTTTTTCTCAAAAGTGGGAATTTCAGCCGCTTATGCCTGTCTAACGTCGATCGTATTGGCCGATCTGTTGGGCATCGAAAAGTTGACAAATTCGTTTGGTCTTCTCGTTTTGTACAGAGGAGTCGCTTGTCTTTTGGGAACACCTCTATCTGGTTCTGATTAACGTTTATTTCAAAAATATCAATTACAATTTCAGGCTTGGCTTACGATGTAACAAGATCTTATGACATGTGTTTCTATCTGGGTGGAGGGGTGATTCTCGTTTCCGGCTTGATCTCGTGCCTCATTCCACTTGTTCACCGGTGTGTTCGATCGGAAGAAGAAAAGAGTGAAGAAGAAATTAAAGAATAGTTTGCGATAAAGATATGAAAATAGGGCAGAAGTCAAAAAACACAAAACAACCGCCAAACTTGTTTCTTAAGCTCTAAGCTTTGAATTCGAGTTCTATTAGATTAGATTTGATCTATTAGATTGACAACTTGAAAGTTGGTACACTTATTTATTGCAATTTTTAGAAATAGCTAGTGCACCAATTAATCTACAGTTTTTACCAATAAAAAGATTCATTTATTCTCTAAAACAAGCTTTTCACAGATTTTAAAAACCTTCGGTTTTGTAGGTTTCTAGGGGGCAAGAAGTTGAAGAACCAAAACTGATGAACACTCGGTGAAGCGATTTGAGCACTTTCTTCCAAATAAACCTATTTTATTGTCAATCAAGAAAATCGAGATCATAACAAGTTAGATATATAGCCAAATTTTCAGCTATACCAAAATGCTCGTAGAGTATAGGTGCATAAAAAAAAGTAAGTTGAAGGATTGAAGGATTTTCGTGTCCGCCCGCCATCTGCAAGATTTTGCCCTATAAATCAAGTGATTTCGGCCGTCTCTGTGTAAAATGACCAATTTTTTCAATAAAATGTGATTTTTAAAAAATTTACGGGACGGATTATGAAAATTTTTTCGCCATTGAATTCAGAACATTTTTCTGCGTCGAATGGATACTCAAGCATGGAAAACGTATAGAAAAAGCCATTTCGCGTGGATGTGCTTCCCTCCCTTTCAGCTAGGTGTTAGACATGCGTTTCGGTTCACTTTTCGCTTCGGTTTAGACAAAACTGAAAAGTCAAAATTTCGGTTCGGTTTGGTTGAAAGTGAAACCCATGTCTGGTAGGAGTAGAGTGTGAGTTGGAGTTAAAAAAGGATATCAATCAAAGTGTCATCAACTATCTTTTGTATGTTTTACGTTTGATCTAGAGTAAAACGTGGTCGAATGTTCGATCTAGAATCAAGCCGATCACTATAAGCTAGAAGTCCGATCCAGATTTAGAGTGATCGGCTTGATTCTTGATCGGACGTTCGACCTCACTTCATTCTAGATGGCACATAACATATGCACACTCCACGGAGTCGATTCTGATAGACAATCAATATCAAACTTAATTGATTCAAATTTTTCCGCTTTGAGAACAGAACAATTTTTTTCGAAAGGATCTTAATCAGCAGTTGCATTCGTTTGTCTTCTCCAAAAGACGCGAAACATAGATAAGAATGTTTGGTTCAGTGCAGAAATGCAATGAAAAACTTCACCAAGAAATGTACCTGTACTTGAAACGGATATTTTCTACAAAATCATCAGAATGATCCTGATGAAATTGCTTATGAAAAGGGAGTATTTAAGTGACTTCATGAAAGGACAGGCAACCATTTTCCCAACATTAGCCGCTTTCCTTTTAAACTCTCAGTGCTTTATCTGAATCCTGATTTAGTTATCTATACTGGAGAGCTAATACGTTTTCTAAAAGACATTTTGGAAAACTACGGTAATTAAACTGTCATTTTACAGTCAGTCAGTCAAATTTTGGTGTTATTTCCTGAACTATACATGGTTTCAGATCAGGTTTTAGTCGGATCAGCTCCGAAACAGTGGTTCATCGAATCGAATCTGATCTGGTCGGATCGCATTAAATTAAACACGTTTTTTTGCCTCTTTATAACTGGTCCCTCTCTTTTGTCTCTTTATAACTGGTCTCTCTTTATAATAATTTCCAGAACATGATCAAATTCTCGGCTTTCGTCCTTTCAGCTTCTCTTCTCCTTATGGCTCAAGCAAATCCCATTGGGAAAAACCAAGGAAATCAAGAAGTTTGTTTTAGTTTGTTTTTAAAAAAATTACTATCAAGCAATCCTAAGTTCAAAATATTACCGTATCTCCGTATTGTACTTTTGAACTTTTTAGTCCATTGTCAAGCCGATGCCTCAAATGGTTGAACAGATCCCCAACAACCCGGCAGTCCATCAGCCGTCTAACTTGGAGGTACAGTTTTTAAATACCGTATTCTTTCTAATAGTATGGCACCCTGAGCGTCACCTAAATTGCTCGAAATCTCGAAAACCGCTTATCAGAACTTATCGATATGGAATCAAAAAATGTAGCTGATGATGAGATCTTGTCCGATCTCATCCGATGGGGGTTAGAGTTTTGAGCCTCTGCGAAAACTTGGAAACCGTAAAATAGACACCAACTTGGCGGGATACAATACTATTAGGAAGAATAAGGTAATGGAATGTTCTTTCAATTTTTTTTTACTAGGCCCTTTAAATTGTAAGCCCGGTCAGAGCCGGCTCGAAGCAAGATGCTGGGCAAGCAAGCAGGGTCCCGAAAACAACCAAAAGCTAAATTCAGTTCAGAAAAAAGCAAAAGCTAAGATTATCCAAGCCAAACCAAAGCCAACGGCTTTCAATGAGCCGGAAGCATTTTGCTTTGAAAATTGTGGGCCTTTCCCGAAAAACCTTGGCTTTGGCTTGAGTTGGCCTGGAAATTGAACTCTTTTGCCAACTCTACAGGCAAGATTAGAAGACTGGTCTGAACTGAAAGATTGCCTTGCAACAGCCTTCAATTTGGTACACAATGACGGCTAGTTCTCACCGAAATACCATGCAATACAGTAGCCAAGTTGAGATCTTCCTCCGAAGTCAAATTCCAATTGATTACAGGGATGCGATATCCAATGTGGACCCGGCGCTTGTTGCTTTTTGCGATGCGGATGGGGTGGATGCTTCCCCGAGTGTGTGTCTTGTTAACAGCAACAGTAAACAGCAAAAGAGAATCAATAAATTTTGGACATTGACATGAATATACATGGTGAATGACACACTCAAATCTATCTCAACAACATTATTTTTAGTTCAACTACGTTTTATCATGAAATAGATAGTAAGAATTCTTTATGTTATACGTACACACAAAAAGTAAATCAAAATCAATTGAAATCTTCTTTAATTGCATTGCATCTTATCTAACAAACTGCTCGTCTGATCAAACGTTTGAAAAAGATTGTAAAGACTTATGCACCAACCTAATAAATACTAGGTTGATGCAAAAGAAATTTCGGTATTTACAAAAGTTAAATTTCATCAAAATTTCTTTAGGTAACAATTTATTCCAACAAGGAACAATAACAACAATTTATTCCAAACATCGATTTATTTATGGTACGAGTTTGGAATAACAATCATTTCGACTCCTCTCAATATTTTTATTTTCTATTGCATTCTGCGGAAAACACGTCCAGAAATGCGAGAATATCGTCCACATATTGTTCTTTATCAGGTAACATAAAAAAAAGAAGGTATCTGAAAACAGTTTGCTCTGTTTTTATATTAGACTTTGTGAAATTAGTTAGTTAGATTCCTATTGACGTGCGGTTTTAAGGGTCTGGCGCGAAAGCGGCGCGCTTTCTAAAGTGTAGATGCGCTACCGTACCCCGCACAAAAATTCCCGTTTTGCCATTGTTTTCATTTTCCTTCATTCTGTGATATCTTTCAACTTGTTCCTTCAACTTGAACTTGGTTCATCTTTTTGTCGTGTCCCGCTAAGTTTCCTTCTCCCTCCGTAAGATCTATTAGGTTTTTGTAGCACGTTTTTAAAGTACTCTCTCCCTCGTCCGTTCCCTTCTTTTTATATTGTTTGGCCATAGTTTGTTGTTTAAAATTCTAATACGGTTTTATTTCGTTTTCTTTTCGACTCCTTCCATTCTTTTATTTTGAATGTTTTCAGGAATGCATATATTCAAGTCGCTCAACTGCGCTTTGTGCAGCGATCCATGTAAGTGAGAAGGTTTTGTTGGGGATTATGCTTACAATTAGCAATCAAGTGTAAAGTTCACCGGTACTATCCTATTCTATCCACAAATTGGAGAATTCAAGTGACTCAGGTCAAGAATAATGGTTTCTTGATTGTGGGTATGAGAGGATGGTACCAGTTTGCCTTTGGCTATACGAGGGGATTGCATGACTCAGCTAAACCCTTGCTGACTTCTGTCACCTTTTTATTTCTAAACGAATAGAACTCGTGTCTGCTAAAATATCGCTTACTTTTAAAAACTTTAGAACAAAATTCTCGTGATGAATCGGACAAATAAGTTGTCAAATTTGCTTTTTTATTTAGTTGCCCGAATCGCCAACCAGCCTCGATCACCGTGGAGACTCGGCTGTGGATTGATAATTTGTCAGGCGTGTTACGACAAAGAAGGTGGCACAGCGCATCACGGCAAGGCATCAATGCAGTCTGCAGGCGTCCTGCTTCAACTATTCCAACTTTGCATATTCTCTCATTGGTTGGATATATTCGATATTTTAATCTTGAAAATGTTAACTACCTTCTTGAAATAAAACATCTAAATTATTCAGCTTGAATAATTTAGATGTTTTATCTCAAGAAGATGCCTTGACACTTGCTCCGAACGAAAGTGGGTATGTGCTCTCAAAGGTTGCTTTGTTTTTATCGTACCGATAAATTTATTTTCAGCCCTTCAAAATTCCTGAATGCTCAATCTGCCACGATGAATGTTTGACATGTTTGTTAAAATTGTTCAACTTATTCATTTTAGATTCTAATGAGATTGAAGGAAAGAAATCATCTGTTTTCTTGTGCGGTCACATGATTTGTACAGAATGCTTTCTGTATAGGTCAGAAATAGGTGAGACAATCGATTGTCCTGCTTGTAACCGCCGTTGTTATGAAATCTCGAACCCAGAGGAAAATCGATTTAACGGTAAACTCGTGTTCTTTTTTCTTTACGCAGACCTTCGTTTTTAGATTTTCTGAATGAACTGCCCAAAATGACAGAACAATTGCAAGAAGGCGTAAAGGGTCGTAGTTGTGATGACTGCCAGAAAGAGGTATGATTAATACTAAAATGTTTACCAACTTTTGTACTTTTCCTGCTTGTCAACCCCTATAAACCATTAGCTTTTTCTTTGTATATAAAGGCTAAGGCATTGCATTTCAAACACAAAGGGCATTTATTTTTTTCTGCCATTTTCATTTGAGCTCCTGGCAGAGCGTGTTGTAAAAATTGTCTGTGGTTAGAGGACAAACAACAAAAGTACCAAAGTTTTTTATCTAGAACGATGTCGATCAGATGCTTTATTGTTCCAAATGCAGCTCCAAAGTAAGAATTTTAACTCTAGACGAATCTATTCAGTTTAGTCTTGCGGATTTTGCGCTTATAAAAAACATCATTCACACAACGCAATTCCTTTATTGGAGATGACGGTAAGCGGCCGAGTTGGTCCTATCCTAAAATCGTGGTCCATTGATCGTGTTTCATTGGACACGATCAACTCTCGCATCTGGCCACGATTTCAGGACAAAAAGAAAACGGGTTTTGAGAAAAACAAGCTTTTTAGGCTGGCGAGATGTCGAGGGAATTTGGAAAAGTCATCAAAACGTATGCGGATGTATTCCCGGTGTTGCACAAGGAGCTTCTGGAGGACATCAGTGCTTTGATAAAGGTAGATTTCTGATAGAGGTTTAATGCTTTTCACTTCAGAAGTTGACTTTAAATGAAGAAACCCTCAAGGATGCTTCATCTACAGCCGTTTTACAGGAAAAACAGTTGACGTTCACGTAAAGTTGGAGTCGTTTTGTCATCTAAATTAGTTTATAGGAAGTTGAAGACGGATTTTGAAGCGACGGCTGAGAAATATTTGCCAGAATTGCGCAAAATGGATACAAAAGTCAAGGTGAATGAGGGTTTTTCAAGGGAACTTCTTTTTCCTATAGGAATTGATCCGAGCGCTCGACAAGCCCGACACACAATAGAATGGAAATATTTGGACTGTCGGATCTATTTTGAAAGTTTTTCACTTACCGTAAATGCTGCAATAGAACCCCACCCTATAGTCGCCTAAAAAATCCTATTTTGCCGATTTTCAGTCATTTTTCCTAAGCACTGGTTAATGCTAAACATATGTGTTATATCCCAAAGAAATCATCCGTCCTCTAATTTAGTTTGATACCAAAGCGCGCAGAAACTGACTTACTGGTACTGAGATACAGTCATGTGCAAAAGTCTTTCCACATTCAATTTTCCAAAAAGTTTCATCAATTTTCTTTGATAAAGTTCATGGCTATCTTTAGGCTATTAATAGTTTTAGTTACATAAATGTATGTGCAATTTATTTACACAAACGTTATCGCTATACAACACTTATTCATCGAGAAAAAAAATATAATTGTCAAAACAGCCCTGAAAATCGTGGTGCAAAAGTCTTTCACAAGACGAAATTAAGCTATAATCAATATTTAGTTGCTCCTCCTTTTGCCAAAAGTACTTCTTTAATACGAGTAGGCATCGATGCAATTAATTCATCAAGAATTCCAGGTCCAATCGTCCTCCAAATTTTTCGAGGTAAAACCATAGCTCGACTTTAGAGTTGAATAGTTTTCCTCGCAATTTCGATTTCAAATAGGCCCATAGACTCTCGATAACATTTAAATCCTCACCTAAAGAAATCACGTTGGGCTACTTAAAAAGAAAATTATCCTCACCGAAAAACATAATTGATCCTCCGCCTGTTTTCACCGTGGGTTGCAAGTACTTGAGTTGATATCGCTTTCCGACTGGACGTCGGATCAGGTGATTTCGATTTGAAGGAAAAATATCAACTTTTGGTTCATCAACAAAAATCACTCGGGCCCAATCATTGATTGTCCAATTTGAATAGGTTCGAGCAAATTGAAGGCGTTGCCTCCTGTGTTTGGCTGTCAACATAGGCTTGCGAGCAGGTCTTCTAGTATGCAATGCTGCTTGAAGGAAGCATCGATGCAAGGTCCAGCGGGAAATATTCTTGTTTGAAGTTTGCTTGAAAAGAATGGCTCCATCGTTCAACGTCAAATTCGGATCCTTCTTGAAAACTCCCGTAAGGAATCGGTCTTCATTCTTTGTTGTAATCCTCGGCCGTCCCTTTTTCCTACATCTGTGCACATTTTCAGACGCATTCATTTTTGCCATAACAAGAGAAACTGTTGTGGGTGTACATCCTAAGAGGCGAGCAACGTCTTGTCGTGACATCCCTTGTTTCCTTGCCTTGACGATCATTTCTTTATCCGGAGTTGACAGATACGCTCTTGGCATCTAAAAAAAAATAAATTAGTACCAGTAAACAAGAAGCGAACGAAAATAATGAGAATTTTTGCAAGTGTTAAAAGACTTGCATCACGATTTTCAGGGGTGTTTTGGCAATTATGTTTTTTTCTCGATGAATAAGTGTTGTATAGCGATAACGTTTGTGGAAATAAATTGTAGATATATTTGTGTAACTAAAACTATTAATAGCTTAAAGATAGCCATGAACTTTATCAGAGAAAATTGATGAAACTTTTTAGAAAATTGAATGTGAAAACTTTTGCACATGACTGTATGAACGTTTGTTTAAGAGTAAAGTAGACTTCGCGACACTCCTATAGGATGGGGTTCTATTAGAGTATTTATGGCACGCATTTTGCTGTATTCGTATTTTGTACCTGCGTATTATTTTATCCAATAAATCTGAACACTGCTGTTATTCGTTTGCGTTTGAACAAAAGTTTGCGGTTGTCTTGCCCAAGGCACTTTGATCTTTACTTTTAACTCTGGTTGACTTTGGGCAATACTGATAGGCTTGATGCTGATGTATTAGTATTCTCGCTTAAAGCTTGACTTCTTTGTCCTGAGATATTCAGCTAGCCTGGTGGAATCTGGAATAGCTATATCGTGCTTGCCTTGTGTCCCTAACTTGACTGATTCAGCTTTATTGTTTTGTCTAGGTGCTTTATGCGGTTCAGTGTTTGCCTTTTGTTTCACCTTCCCATCATTTTTTCAAAAATGCAATTATTTGAGTCGCTCGACTGCATTTTGTGTCAGGAACCGTGTAGGTGTGGACTTTTTTATTGCCAGATTAAGTTTAGCAACCCTATTGGCTAAAGTGTTTGTTTTTAGTTGCACGAGTCGCCAATCAACTTCGATGATCGCGAATTTTGCTTTGCGATTTGGCAATGTGCCAAAATATTATTATTTTATATTCCACAAATAGGGAATCTAAATGATTCGCCAAAAAGAAATGTTTTAGCTGGGTTTTTGCGAGGTTTACATTGCACAACCTAAATTTGAGTTATAATTTACTTTTAATTTTAAATTAATTTTAAAACCATTTCAAAGCCATTTCAAAATCCAGAACTTTTAAACTATGTTCCAGCTTCCAATCGCGAAAAAGAATGGTTGTGACGGGTTGAGTATTGTTGCGAGAGCAGTTTGTTGTTGATCATATACGAATCGATGCGATGAAGAGCCAAAATCACTCAAAAAACCGAAAAGATCCAAGAAAATTTGGGGTAAATATTGAAGCTTTGTAAAAATTGAATAAAGCTTTTGTTTCTACATATTTGAAAAGCTAGAGAGCAAACCTTGGTAGTTTAACGCTTCAGCCAAATATTAGTTGTTTGCCCGATTATCTCAAAAAACAACAAGAGCCTATTGAAATTCCAAGTTGGTTTGATTTGAATTGCTGAAGATTCTGAATAAGAAGACCTTCAACAGTATACAAGCTTGTAATTTTTTTGAAGAATTTTACCATTTAAAGATCTTGACTCTATCCGGTCCGTTAAAATAGATTGGTTGCTTTAATCTATCAAGAAAAAACGAACAAAAACGAATTGATTCACACCTTGTTTTTAAAATTTATTGGAGTGGGCTAGATTTTCTTTTACCATTTTGATTATTTCTTTGCTTACTTTCAATTCCAAAAGCCAAATATCGTAAGGAGCCTCAAAATTTGCAGAGGTGAGATTGCAACGAGAATGCCGGATGACTTTTTTTTTTGACGAGCAACAATGGGTCGTGGGTTCGGTCCCCTCCGAGAAAATTAGTTTTGCTTTTCTTTTCAAAATGGATTTTAACTGTTGGAAAGTCAATTTCGTTAGTTTTCTACTATCTATAAAAGGGAAGAGACGCCCGTCTGTCCAAATAACATTATGCGCCACATTGTCTACAATAAAGTCCTCGAATAAACTATGGAAAAATTAACCCATGAGCCCCAGTCACAGATCTTTAATCTGGGTCATGGGGGGAGAGTGTTCCTAGACCTCAGCGTGGTCCTCCCTGGAGATTCCCATATTTGGGATAAGCTAACTATAGGAATTGGTTTAAAATAACTTGGATAAATGAAATAAATGGATCGCTGACTACGTTCAGCCCCAACTGTCCAGCGGCGTTAGCCAAAAAGATTCCTGTTTACAAAGCCAATATGATTATCGATTGACACGACAACAAGGATTATAAATTTACGTGAGACCTCAACCAGCAGCAGTTTAAACTGCTGGCACTTAATAATGGGGCATACCTTGAATAAATTTGTTTTGCAACTCTCGATAATTGCTTAGATAACATGGTTGTTTAAAAAGGTTTTTTGAAAATCTGCAAAAAGTCGTACTTTCAAGCTAAACAGTGCAAATTACAAAAATTTCTTTTTCTTCAGCTAATTCCAATGTGCAGAAGTGCCAATTTTGAAGAAAATAAATTGCTCTTTAAAAACAAATTGCTCTTTAAAAATGCACAATATGAAAAATTGACGAACTTTCGCATATTGAGTAATGGATGAAGAGCCTTTTCTTTATAATATATATGAAAATATTCTAGCAGTTATATTTGCACCCTTTAATTTACTTGCACTTTACTGTATTCTTGTCAAATCGCCGCCGGAAATGAGAGAATATCGCTCACATCTTGTTGTCTATCAGGTAAGAACGAACTGAGCGTTGAACGGACAAAAACTAACTGCAAAATTGTCGTTTTTGAAATGCGTCAAGTGCATTGCTCTAGTTAATGTCAAAAAAATCCACGAAATACACTCAAAATACACTCAAAGTTGCATTTGGGGAGGCCAGATTGCTTGAATCAATCAAGCTTGAAATGGATTGTGGGACCTTTTATACGCGAGGCCCGAGGCGCGAGACAATATAGCTTTGAGCTCAAATATCTTGGTATTGGTTCAATCTAAATAGTTTTCGTACCAATCAACAGAGAAAAACTTGGCGAATCCAATAATACCAAGAATATTAAAATTGAACAGCTCAACACCAAGATATTTGAGCTCAAAGCCAATGGCAGAAGGGGCGGGGCGTGTATCAAATGTTCGTTAATCTTTGAAATGGCCCAAAAGTGTAGATTAGTTGAAACAAAAAATGCTTTGTTTACAACAACTAATAGAATTGTAATCAAGAAATTTAGAACAAATATATTGCCTAATATACACTGCTCCACAAAATTATATGGACACTTACTTTTTTACCAATTTTATGCTCTTAAGAAACGATAGTGAAAAAAGTTGTTTTATAGTATTTTCTTTATTAGATTTGCCATTGAAACACGTTAGATATACTACCATAGTTTGAAATATGAATGCTTAAAAATCGAATTTTGTAAAAAATGAACTTTGGCGCTTTCCACATAATGATATGGACACTACATACAAATTTTTATTTATTAACAAAAAAATGATTTTAAAAAAGAACAACAACATTTAATAATCAATAGGACTTTCATTGTTTTGAATCAATTCAAAAATTCGATTGTCCATGCTGGCCACAAGTTTATCGATCAGATTTTGGTCTACTTTTCTCTAGGCATCAATTATTACAGATTTCAGAGAAGGCACGTCTTTATAAGTCTTGTTTCCTGCGTAAATGTAACGTACCATACACTTTCTTGCACATTTAAGTCGGGAGAATTGATAGGCCAGTCGAGGAGTCGAACTTGCTTCCGTTATAGCCATCTTTTAGTGCTTTGGCTTGCATGTATTGGAGCATTGTCCTGGACGAAAATGTGATTTTGGCCTTGATTCCGACGCCAAAACAGAAGAAGTGATCGCCGCAAGATAAATTGATAATGGGCTGAATTCATACGCTTTAGGACAAATGCCAGTTTTATTCGGCCAGATGAAGCAATTGCTACCCATACCATCACACCACCTCCTTTGAAGTTTCTTCGCGAAAAGCTAATCTTTTCCTTTCTTAAATCATGTCAATAACTGCGGTTTCTATCAGGCCCATCACAGTTAAATTTCTTCTCATCCGACCACACGACCTAAACATAATAGTAACTTTCCATCAGCCAAGTAATCACACCCACCTTACTCCAGTCAATTTTTCTGTTTTTGTCGGCGAATTCTAGTCTTTTCTTGCAATGATCTTGCGTCATAAACGGTGCTTTACGCATCTTCCTTCGCACAATAAAATCGCTTTTCTTTAGCACTCGACGGACTGTTTCGCTTGACACTTTGAGCTTGAGATTCGCCTTGATATCTGAGCAGGAAAGCGTAGAGTTGGATGCTTCTCCGCAAATGTGTCTCATATCTCGCTCAGAAACGAAAGTTTTTCGAGCAGTCGACTTTTTTGTTGCGTATTGTAGAGGATCAGACAAATAGGATCCGGTTAACGTTGGTGTTCGGTTCAGAAATCGTCCTATTGCTCGATTTGAGTGTCCTTCGCGATTCATTGCCTCTATGATTCGAGTTTCCCTTTCAGACAGCGGTGGTCCTCCTGGCATTTTTTCAGAGTACCTTAAAGAAATGATTTTTGAGCAAAAAGAGCTAAATTATCTGAAAAAAAAGAAAAAAAGGACGAAAAACAAAGTGTCCATATCATTATGTGGAAAGCGCCAAAGGGCTGTTTTACAAAATTCGATTTTTAAACATTCATATTTCCAACTATGGTAGTATATCTAGCGTGCTTCAATAGCAAATCTAATAAGGAAAATACTATAAAACAACTTTTTTCACTATCGTTTCTTAAGAGCATAAAATTGGTAAAAAAGTAAGTGTCCATATGATTTTGTGGAGCAGTGTATTTGAAAGCTAAATTTCAGGTTCTAACCCTATCTCTTGATGTGTTGTTTGTTTTGGCACGGGCCGAATTACACTTGCCTTCGCTTTCCGGGCGCATCCATGGCATCTGGGATTCAGTTTTTGACTTTGGTGCTAAACAGGCATTGGTGAGTTCAACAATCCTGTCTGCAGCTCTTTGATGAAATTGTTGTCTTGAAATCTCACTTGTCCACAAGAAGGCGCGCATTTTTGTGGTGAACTCCTTGACATAAACGCACACCTTCTGGGGCACAAATAAGAATCATTTTCTCTGTTCAGAGCATCGGTGCTTTTCTCGTGGCTGCCATTTGCGGTTCAGTGAGCACTTTGTTATTTTTCAAATGGCAAAGTCTTCAACAAAATGACAGCTTTTGGAAGTTAAATACAAAACAAAATTCAACAAAAATGTTAAGTGTTTAGATTCTCAAAATGCGGATACGCTTGCTATATGCTTCTCATGCTCGGTTTCTTACCTGGACTTTTCTTTTTTCTGTTTGAATTTGCGCCATTAGAAAAGGGATCACAGAGTCAATTTCTTTGGGAGGGGATTGTGGTTGGTCAAGTCGCAATTGACTAGGATTTCTAGGATGGGGTTGGACAATGCCAAACTTTGGCCACCAACGTCTGACTGAAAGCTGGCCTCGCCTGGCTCTGGGCGTCTAGGGACTTTTTTTAAGGTTCAGGACAGGAAAGGCCAAAATTTGGCTTATTGGTCTAATCCTGGCCTGGTTTAGACAGAAAAACTTACTTTCGAAAAACCATACCGTAATTTAACCTCTGGATGGTAGTTTTGTGAGCTGAAGCCAGGCTAACCAAGTCCAAAACCAGAATCACCCTAGTTCTTAAAAGTTAATCCAATGAAGTTCTTTGTAACAAATTCAGAAATATCCAAAGTTTGCTTATCTTTCAACAATGCCTAACATTTATTCAAGTGCAATTGTGCCGATCTATCCACCCTATCTCAACTTTTCAACTATTCACGTAATTATTTGTAGCCTCTTTGTTTGTACGATATCCTGGGCGTGCACGGTGAGTGCTTCTCTGTTTCTCTGTTGTTTCTCTGTTAATTGGCAAAATTTAGAGCATAACTTTCATCATTGGATGTGACAGTCTAATCTCCACGGCCGCGCTTCATGCAAGTGAAAAAACGAAACGAATGCAACGGAAATATTTTCAGTCACTTTGTATTCAAGTGAGATGACAAATTAAGCTAGAAATAGAATCTTGGCCTGGTTTCTGGCCTGTCTGACATTACTACTAGCCTGGCCTGGCCTTGAACTTGACTACTGGTTTGATCACTAAAGTAGTCAGAAGACCTGGGCTTTGCTTTTGAACTGGTTTGCTAAAGCCCCTAGATCCACCCAGACCATGAACCTATGTACTTGCTTGGGCTAGTCCAGTCTGGCTAGGATCCTAATCCTAGTAGATTAAAAAGGTTGGAACATTCAAGACAAGGCTTACTCAAAATTTGCTGAAAGAAGCCTGAGTTGCTGTTGAACACCCAGTCAACGCGTTTAAAAGACCGTACAAACCAGAAGCAAGGTCTTCAGCCTTACTTGAGTTGGCACAGCCTTCAAAACTGACCTAAGCTGGCCTTTGGGCAGCCAGAAGTCAGAATTGGCCTCGCTTAGACTCGCTTCAGCTTGTCTTGTATTTGGACATCTAGAAATCAGAGCTTGATTGCTTGATACAATACCAAATACCGTTTTCTGTCAACATGTTCTCCTTTTAGCTATCGATTCCGCTAATATCTCACTCATTGCCCTGGTTCTACTATGCCGCAATTATTGCCACTAGTCAAGACTTCATTAATCAGCGTAAGTTAGCTAAATGGCTTCAAAAATAAAACAACTTTAGCTTTGAACAATTTCTTTTTCTCGATAATGAGCTCTCATGGAACGGTTTCATCGATTTCTTTGCTCACTTTAACTCATCCGTATCGAGTATTCGTTTTGAGCCAACTACGGAAAATCCCCATTCTAAAATGCTGCCTTGCCGAGAAGCAAAAACTTCATATCGCTGTGGCTTCTGCGACTTTGGAGAACACTCGAGAAGTGCCATAAAAGAAACATTTTGTTTGAGCTTCTTTTCTGTTTGATCATGAATTTATTCAGCTACAGAATACAGACGTTGTGACTTGTTTAGAGACATCTAGCAGCAGTACGTCAAAGCAGATTGCAGTTAGTATTGCATTTATTCGGTAAACAAGAGAAAACTCATCAATTGACATTTGTTGGAAAGTTCAAATAATATCCATCACTGTTCCCTTTTTCACCGAGCAGCCCATACAAATCCAAGCAGATTTTTTCGAAATTTGGACGATCTTTTGCCTCAAATTCCCGACATGACTCGGCTAGGACTTTTCTGGAAATTTCAATTTTCTTTTTAAATTTAAACTCTTCACATTTATTTTGGCGTTTCATCGGGAAGCACCAGCCGATATCCGTATTTCAAATGTTTATACACATCCAAATTGTAAATGGAAACGAATGGAGAATTGCCGAAAGTGTACAGTTCGAAAAGGAACACTCCATAAGACCATCTAAATGAGAAATGGGGCATAAACCGGAAATATTTTGTGCTTACACATCAGTTTTCTCGCTGAAAACAAAAGTTTTGATTGACTCGGGTGACATCCATTTGATAGAAAGAAGACCGCCTTTTCAGGTGTACAAAAGAGTGTCATTTCGTCGACATAAGTCAACATCTAAAAAGAATTTCAAAAGAATTTAGTGAAGAGAAAACCTTCGAAATTCAATGTGTCTGACTAGGGAAAGGCATGAACTCCAGTTGAGCTTTTGTCTGGACATTCACTGCACTTCATAGAATCGGGTATGAGGAATCAAAATCTGCCAAATGACTTTGCATGCGTGTAAAACCTCAATCGAAAATTACAATGAAAATGAACAAAAATCAAAGCAAATCAATGCTTTAAAAGGGTATGTTGATGGCCTAATAGATAACGCATTAGCCTGCCGCCCACAGAATCGGAGTTCTAGCCTGATGTAGCTTCTTGTTTTTGTGCTGCTTTTGGAGCAACTTCAAGCATTTTGCAGCTAATTGCATTATGTTTGATTTTGTTTTGATTTGGCTTTGGTTAAAATTACAAACTCGTTTTCCTGAGCTGATCCATCGTCCTTTCAGTTCAGATCGCCAACAAATTCCTCATCAAAGAAAGAGTGGGTCTACTCTCTGATTACCAAAAAGATCAATTTGAAGCCAATGTAGAAGAGTTCAAAAGAGAAAAGGCTGTTAAAGTTCGTAAATGTCTGAAACAAGCATTTTACAACAAGATTAGCGTGTCAACAACTATTGCTCAGAAAAGACGGTCAAGCGATTGTGCCAGTGAATCTCAAAAGATTCAATGATGACCTTTTGATCAACAAGATTCATTTGAAAGTGAATTACGAATTTTAGAGCTGAAACAGTGTTATGAAAACTTTATGAGGCTGATGAAATTGTTTTCATAACAAGTCTCAAATTCAAAGTCCAAATTAGTAGACCTAATAAAATGAATAGCTCCAATCAATTGCCCGATCCCGAAAACCCCCGGGTACAAATTTACAGCCAAATATCTTCTTTTATGCCATCAACAAAGAAAAATAGAAAACCCAATGTAAATGACAGACGAGGTGTTCTTTGTGCGGCTGCGGAATCGCTGGCAATCTGGCACATCTCCCTGGTCTGAAAGGCTTCTCTTTTGAAGCCGTAAAGGGGAAGGAGTGGTGAGCGACTGAGCCGGCTTCGCTTTTTTTCTGCATCACTATGCCCAGACTTTTAGAACCAATTTTTACCTTAAATTTGGCTGTGTTTTTTCGAATCTCTGCATCTCTCTAAACCAAAAATAGCTGAGACACTAGAGGGAAATTTATTGAGAATAGGTCCTTTTATGGTTTCAAGAAAAAGCACTTGTACTTCTGATAAAGAACCTGTAATGTGCGTTGGTTTAAGTGAAGCTGACTATGAGATACAGCTTTTCCTAACTTCAGTGAATTCTTGTAGCATTGACAAATAAAGCATCGACAAGTCATTCAACTTTGCTCCCAACTAATACTCCTAAGGACATTGAAATAACTCCTAAATCGGGTTTTAGCTTATTAACTTGGATACTTTTCCTTGTTTTCCTTATTCCTTATTTTTTTCCTTTTCCTGCTCGTCGTTATTTCAATCGATGTTGATTTTTAATGATTACTCCAATAAAAACTTTTTAAAATATATCTCTTTTCGTTAGTCCCAAAAGGACAAACGCAATAACGCTAACCAAATTAAATAAATGAAAACAGAAATTGCAATCAAAAGCTTGCTTGATTATAAAAAAGCTGTTGACAAACGAGTTATCGTTTATTGGGGTGAACCGTTGAAAAGTCGTCGCATTACTGTAGAGATTGACGACAACGCCTGGAAATCTTGAATGAAACTTGCAATTTTTCGACTTTCGGCTTCATCGATTGCTAAATCTAGCAAAATCAGAGTAGACATGTAGTGGTCTAGCCCAAAATCACACTTTTGGGTTTTGATTTTTGAAATAAAAAAAAAACGAAAAACCCCCGTTTCATCTTTGTTTCTTCATAGTTTTTTGCCAGTTTCCTTGAAAAATGACATCATTATCACTCGTACAGCTCTTCTTTCCATGTTGCAGAGCATATTGAACTTGCAAAACTCTCCTTCTCTTGTTTCTGAGCCTGAGCCTGAGCTGTACGAGTGATAATCTGAACTGAATCAGCGCTGATAACGTCGTGAATGAAAAAGACTTCGAAAAGAATTCTCACATCAGCTTTCTTTTTAGTATAGCTTCAAAGTGCTAATTTCGATTTCAAGTTTAACCCAAAACTAGAGTAATTGTTGTTGTTTTCCAAATGCACGTTGTTTCTTTTAGCATCCTTTTTTCTTACAAAATGTATGGTGTTAAGCTATCTCTATAATTTTTAAAATTGCAGATGGTTAATATTTACGAAGAGTGGACAGGAAAAGCCGATTCTCCTCGCGTCAAAATTGTCAACCTGGTTTATCAAAGAAATGTAAGTCAGTGTATCTACTATATTATAATTTTGAAAAATTGTCTGTCGGTTTGAGTTAAGTGTCTGTTACCACGATTTAGCTTCACCAGTTGGGTTTTGCAGAGGACAAAGCATCGAACTAGGGATAATCGAGGGGCGCGACAGAGGGGGAAGTGGTCAGATTTCTAAAATTTTTACGCTTTTGATATCAAATATGCAAATTTCTGAAAATGAAAGAAACGATCGGAGATTTGCAAGAATGGGGGAAGGAAAGCTTTCGTATGCAAATTTCCAAGGTGATTTTTAAGGTTAATGCCAATTTTAGCCGTGTAGCGGATGTCCAGCGTAGCTATTTTATAATAGTAAAACATAAACTTACTTTAGTCTAAACAGCCAGAAAAACGGAGTTGGACGCCGACTTATGAAGGGAAATTGATCGGAATGCCTAGTGTATGGTTTTCTGTGCTCACGGAAGAGGATGAAGAAGAGGATGAAGAAGAGGATGAAGAAGAGGATGAAGAAGAGGATGAAGAAGAGGATGAAGAAGAGGATGAAGAAGATGTAATTTCGAGTAGCTTAGCTTTGGCAAAAGAAATTTTTGCTCAAAATAACTATAACTTGTTTTATTTCAAAGACTCTGAGAAGATTACCGAGAAGCCAGCAGTATATGAGGTTTTAATAATAGTGACCATTGATGCTGAACAGAAAGATATTTTTGATAATCTTAAAGAACACTTTGTGCGACTTGACTCCAAGCAGAACCCTTTCTTTTTTCTTCGTAAAGACAAATGGCACACATGCTCAAAAATTGGCTCTTATCAATGCAAAGTAAAACTTGCTTTTTTGCAAGACCTAGAACTTCCTGGTTTTGGTTGGGATCGATCAATCAAAGTAAAAGTCGAAAAACGTTCCAAACTTGCAAATATCCTTGTTAAACAATGGGCCAATTCTTTGTTGGATAATACATATGAATCACCACGCCAAACGGAGCCTATATCGGGTACGTAAATGTATTTTCTCTTTGAAATTTACTTTTGAAATTTAACTTTATCAACCTTAAAAATTTTAGATGAAGTGGAAACTCTGAGCGGTGAACTGAAAATTCCGAGCGGTGAACTGAAAACTCTTTTACTGGACAGCTTGAATTGGAAGGACAAATGGAAGAATTGTAATGGAACGAAAGAATGCAGCTGGAATCAAGATGGTTACATGGTTAAAACAACAATGGCTCACCGAGTTTCAAAATTTGAAGTAAAAACTTTTTGAAATCTGGTAGCATAAAACTGATGTATTATTTTTCATTTTACATAGTTAAGCCAGCAGAACAAGTGATTAACTCTGTCAAATATAATTGTTTAGAGCAATCGTAAACTATCCGAGACTCCGAATCCGCATTGGGGCCTTGTGTATAATGAAAAATACGATGGTGCCCTTGTTGGCTGTGTTGGAACTTTTTTTGGAACGACGCTTTTTAATAATGGTCTTCCTAGCAAATCCCCGTATCCAACTGGTGGGACGGCTAAAAAAGAATACCATCGAATGACTATGGAGTTACCTTCAGAAGCTGTTAAACTATGGTATCAAAAAAATCCCTATTACACAAAACCCATGAACCAAGCCTTGTACACATACCAAGTCATTATAGTGTTGACAAGGCAAAAAGAGGATGAGGAAATTTTTAAAAATCTCTCTAAATACTATGAACCTTTGGAAGGAGTTAACCCGTTTATTTATAAAAATGGTAATAAATGGATGACAAATAACCTTCAGAAGTTCAGCTTTCGAAACATTCAAATCCAGTACAGTGTAAACTTGTTCGTTTTAAAAGGCCCGCCGAAAAGCTGGGTAGTTAAATGGAACAAAACAGTTACGAAAATGGAAAAGATACTTAATACAAGCTTCGACGAGGATCAAAAGACTAGAAAGACTATAGCCTTAAGAGTCTTAAAGCAATGGACCGCTTACTTCATGAAGGGAACAAAAGAAGAGGCTGAAGAATCAAAAGAAGAAATAGAAGAAATGGCCGAGCAAGTAAAAGCAATGAAATTGAGGAAGTAATGATGAAAGAACTTTGTGAACTTTTTTGTTTTTATTTTTTGTTTTTCTTTTCTGCTTTTGAGTGAATAAAGTAATTTCTGGTGCAAGATTGTTACTTCATAACAGACCAAAGTTTATTCTGAACATTTAGTGGTGGTGGCATTTTGCAAATGAGATAGGGAGCTGAAGTTGCAAAGTTTCAGCCTTTAACCGAGCAAGATTGATCGTTACTCACCTAGAGTTCAGTTTTTAGATTTGGACGCTCGAGTCCTTATACGTTTATCGGGCAAATGCTTTACCAATGAGCTACACTGACACTGACAAAACAACTTGTTTCTTAAGTTCTAAACTCCAGATTCGAGTTCTGGAATCCCAATTCAGATCAGTAGAGTAGCAAAAGGTATGCCTTGATAGCTATCATAATCAATTCAAACAAGGGAAAGTAAAAATAAATGAAGAGCAAAAATTTTTCTTTCTCTTTTCATTAACTTCCAGCATTCAATGTTTGCATTTTGCTCCATCATCCCTCATTGGTTGTTTGCTCTTGTTATCGGTTTCATTTGACAGTCTTTACTTACAATTAACTTTCAAAAATGTTCGAAATTGCAAAATATAAAGAATTCTTGCATTTTTTTCTTTTTCTTATTTGGACCAATGCGTCTGTGAATGCCTATACACAAATGAATCCTGGGTTTACCACTAGTCCTGGCTCTTATGCTACTTAACAATAAAGACGTTTTGTTTCCGGAATTTGTCCTGCTAATTTTTCTTTCCCCTTCGTCAAATCTATTATGTTTTATAGCGCGTTTTTAAAGTACTCTCTCCCCTCGTTCGTTTTCTCCTTTTTATATTGTTTGCCCATAGCTCTTGTTTTAAATTCTAATACGGTTTTATTTTGTTTTCTTTTTGGCTCCTTCTACTCTATTGTTTTGAATCGTTTCATACATGACGTAGAAACTCAACTTAACCAATTCCTTTTAACTAAAATGCAAATCTAAATAATCTGCCACGGCGCTATCTTCTTGTTACTTTGTCTTGGGTTTCGTGTCAAATTATTTTAGAAAAGGGTTGGTAAATCTAAAGGTGTTGGATAAGGGAGTTACTAACTATTCTTTTTGAATTGTTTTCTTTTTTGGATTTTTTTCAAACCGTTTAACAGTGTTCAAAAGAGTTTTCAAAGTCTTTCTTTTAAATGCGCCCACATGTGCGATTGTTTCAAGAAGGAAAGCATCCGCGATGGTCGAAAGATCAGTATCGAGCGGAGAATCAGCGCATCAGGGTTGGTCAATTTAGAACTGAGAATTTTAAACTCTTAAGATTGAGATGAAAAAAACAAAGGAATTTGGTGATCAGATCCTCCTAAAACTGATTTTTCGCATTTTTTCGACAATCAAGCAGGCAAAATTAAGTGGACTGAACAAATCAATAACATAGCTATTGAAAATTGTCTCAAAATTCACTGATTCAAGCCAATTTCCTAATCTTACTAGTTTTCTAGCTTTTCTAGCCTAGGCAATTTTGCTAGCTTTTTCCAGTTTACGCGGATTGTTCAACAACATGAGTCCATCAAGATTTCCACAAGAAGAGCCGATTGTTCGGTGAGTTGAAAAGGCTAATATTATTGAAAATTTCAACCTAATTCATCTTCCTTTTGCATATTGCTGCGCTTTAGATCTGTGGTGAATCAATCACGATGTCAACCGTCATGCAACACATCGAAAAGCACGTGCGAGTGTTGTCTCGAGCGTGCTCGGGATGCGAATTCTATGTAAGTTTGTATTGGGTTGGAGAGTATGAAATGGCGGCGTCTTCGGACGAACTTTTAAAAAAGCTAAACCATAAATTTCTCAAATTTTTTTCTAATAACATTTGAAGTTTTGTTGGTGCTATTTTGTTGGTCTTAATTTGGTACTTATTTAAGCTTTTGTGACTGTTTTCTAGCCATTTCAAGTTACTGAGGTTTCAAGCCTCTTAATTCGATCCCAGTGGTACCTATAAACCCAGTGGAAATAGAGCCACTCTTAAAGGCTCGGAATTGTCTCTCAAGCTGGCCTAAAAGTTATTCAGAATGGTTTATAAATGCTTCCAGTGGATTCAGTGCAATTAATCACCTCAGAAAAAGTTTTTAAAACTAGTGGCAAGTTCGAAAAAACCGGTGTTTACAAACGGCCTAAGCCCAACTGCTATAACATCGTTTTGTTGCTTATACATCAAAATTTGATCCCGATCTGATGCACAGTTTTTGAGAAATGGGGATGGATGTGCCAAAGGTCGATTTTTGACTACCACTTAACGTGACGATGTTTGTAGCAAAAATATTCGACTAGCATGCTAGTTGAATGCTATAGCATCCAGTTAAAGCGGTGACTTTATAAGATAATAGAAATTAAGTTAAGAAATTAAGAAAGTTCGATAATAGAAATTAAAGATTGAAAAAAGACGTGACTAAGTCCTGGGAATAGTATCGTCAAAAATATCTTCTGTATTCTCAAAAAGCGACAAGTTCTTATTCGAAAATTTTAATTTTATGTTTATTTTGGTTAACAAGTTTGTACAAACATTAGCTCAAACGATTTTTGAATCTATTGGGTTGGGGAGAATAAGTCGGCGCCGAAAATGAAAAAAATGTCTAAAACTTCTATTCGACTTCGTCAAATAATATGCGTTTGATATCAGTAGAATGGTTAACTAATTCTCTACAAAATGACATTTAAAAGAAAATTCAAACAGCGCCTCCGCTCAAGAAAAAGCCATTTTTTCACAAAAACTACAAACTGTCATCGAGAAAAAACCATTGGTGGGATCTTCCTGCAAATTTGGCAACTTAAGCAATTGAATGTGCTCTATCTTTTTTATATAAACACCAAAGAAGGTTTATGTGAAAGAAACTGTTCAAATGATGAGTCGGACTCTTTGCCATTTTAACCAGCTGCGTTTGGAAGTTCATAAACTCCACGAAAGAAAAGCTTTGTGGAATCTCTCAAAAGTCATTTTGTAGAGAAATAGTGGATCCTTTTGATGAAACCAAACGTATGTTTAAAGTAGGCTTTATGTGTGCAAAAAGTCCCTTTAAAGTTGGGCACCGACTCATTCTCCCCAACCCAATAGCAATTTGTTGCAAATTTTTAGCAGTCTCGATTTTAAGGGAAAATTAGACAAAAATCGACCTTTGAACACATCCCCTCTCATCTCTCAAAAACTGTACATCAGATCGGGATCACGTTTTTGGCGTATAGTCAACAAAACCTCAATTGTTATTAGAAAAAAATTTGAGAAAAAGTTATAGTTTAGTTTTTTTTGGAAAGTTCGTCCGAAGACACCACCATTTCATATTCCCCAACCCAATGACTTGGTTCAAAATTTGTCTATTAAGTTAGCTTTATCAGAAATTGTCACTTTAATTCAATGTTTAGGCGTCACGCGAGCAATTGGTCCAGCAACACATTCGTGAAGTGCATCCCCGAACTGAGCAGTGCATTCCTATCCGGTTTGTTACAATAGAACGTAAGATTTATGACGTAAGGCTCTACTTTTTAGCATATTTACAGATGTGTTGATGAAGCAAAAACGCGGGAGCAAACCCGTCAAATCGTCGAGGAAATGTTTCCAGAGCTAATTGCAAAGAGGAATTTGATTGGCATGGTGTGTGGCCAAAAGGTGAGAATACGATTCTGGAAAAGTCACGTAGCTAGGTTTATAAACGTTAAGTGTTGAAAGGTTTCTGAAGTTTTCAACAATTCCTAATGTTAAGATCACTAACGGCTAACAAATTATAAACCGATCTTTTTATAGAGGAAAAGCTTGGACGAAACCTCTGAAAGACAAGCGAAAGCGCAAAGGGTTGAAGGTGGAGCTCAACATTTTCAGGTGGTAATTATTTTCAAAAACAGTAAAATCTCCTAAATTTCTATATTAAATTTGAATTATAATTACAGTAACATGTCTATAATTGAAATTTTACCTTTATCAATAAAGCCATTAACTTTCAGCCGCTGAATGCACCCAGGCACAAGTCAATTCGACCAGTGGTTGATCGTCGAAGAATATTTTAACAAAAATGATCACATGTTGACCAATTTTGAGATTTGATATTTGATTTTGATCTCTTCCCGACTCATCTTGCTTTTATTTTTTTGCAATGGGATGATCTCTTTTCTAACGCTCACAAAATTGCCAAACTGGACTTTTGATGCTTTTGTTGATCTCTCTTTTAGCTCTCATAAGATTTTTATTCAACTTGATCCGGTTTTTGTGTCAAATACTTTAAATCTTGCCACAATTTGACGCCTTTTTTCAACAGATCTGTCATTTCTTTGCAAACTGTCTTTTGGAGCTTTGAAATGTTATTGTTATTTTTCAATGGTACTTATAAGTTTCATTCGATTTCAATTTTTGCTAATGATTAATTTCCTCATCCTGCTTGTGACAAAGACCGTCACGGATGAGGCCCTAGGAATGTATTCAAATCGATTCAATGTAGAAAGTAAATTTACCCTGTGGTTCATGCTAGTTGTACATAAAAGAGGCACGAAAAAATAGTCTCGATTGCCCACTTTGAGCGGATATTTTGGAGGAAAAATTGGCAAAACGGCGGTTTTGAACCGAACAGTAAATTGTTGTTTTAATATGACTGCAATTGTTCTAACTAAAACTTCTAGTTACTCTAGATATTAATAAGATTAATTGTGAGTACCATAACTGAGATTTAGCTAATTGTAAGATCCGTCAGAGCAACTTTTCTTGTCTTCTACTAAAAACCAGACGTTTTGGAATCACCTTTGTTTAGAATCAGTCGACGAAAAGAAAGTCAAGATTTGCAAAGGATCGACAAATGATCGGGTGCTACGGTGTGGAATTCTCCATGTTCCAGATGATCTACGTGATCATTGCCAAATTCTTAGAATCATATTGTCACTTTGGAAAATGTGAATCCAGAAGTCGGACAAGCTTTTCAAAAACAATTGATGCTAACAGCTCATTTTAGCCGATCACTGCTTCTAATCAGGATCGAACGTGACTTTCAGTGCTTTGATTCTCCAATGAATCCCATCAAATTTCCTAGTAATTCTGTATCATTACAAATTTTCTTGCACTTGTTTTCTTATCTTCTCATCTTAATGTGTTCTATTGTAATCGTTCAAAGTGTAAGGCCGCCATCAAAAATCCAACCAAATCTGATGCCAGGAAATCCATCAAAATCTGTTGCAACGTTGTGTCTGCAAGTAGGATTACGCTGCGGACGATGAGTACTGTCAGCCACCTGATTCGGATCCGGTAAAATAACAATGAAGTTTCTCTTCAATCCCAGTCACAGAGTTGAAATGCCCAAAAATTTTAATAGAATCGTGACCAAGACTTGTGGTGAACGATGCTCAGGTGTTCGGTTCCTTGAAGCTCGAAGGGGAAAAAAGGATCAACCGTGATGGATTTATTTTGAATTACTTGTGAATGTTGTGTTTGTTTAGAAATAACGTTCACCAGTTATTTTATGGGACACAAATACCAGCGTTGGTGATTGGATTCTGGCTCTTCATAAAACCCGGACAGCAAGGTGGCTTCGGCGACGAGCACCAGCCATCGCCACACGCAATCTGTTGAGTGAAGTTCCCGCTGAATTATTTTATTCTAGAAAAGCCGCGAACAGAGGTTTCTCACTTGCATTGTGAACCAGTCGGCATACAATAACGTGCTTGCGTCATAGTCCCGCACATACCACAAGTGTCATTGCAGAAAGAGGTGGCAAACCAAGGCTGCCAAGTGCCGGGAAAAGTTATCGGCTAGAAGCTTAAGTGGTTTTTGACCTGTGAAGACCGATTTTGGCTCTGTATTTCTTAAATCTATTTTGAATTGCTAGTAAACAAGAAACTTACCGGCTCAAGCTGGCAAAAGATTGTGCCGTCATAAGCCACGCCTTCATAAGTCCCGTCACAACAAGGCTTTCCCGTGCACCCCAAAGCTCCACAACGCCTAACTTCCATTGAATTTCCTCTAAAATTCTTTTTGCACAGAACATTTTGGCTTTACTTACGTGCATGGGCATCCATATGGTTGAGAAGCACACGTTCGAGTTCGAATCTGAGTACCACAAAGGCCACATGTCGCAGAACATATAGACCAATCACTCCAATCGTTCCATAATCCATTTCCGTCTAAATGAGCATCAATCTATCTCATAGCCTTTAGATGGGTGCTAAATTCAATAATCTCAACATAGCAAGAACTTGTGCCATCATTCTGTGGAGCAACAAACCCGGTGGACAGCAAATCCTTTCCACAATTGGTGCCAATTCCACTGGTGCGTCCTCAAGTTGACAAGTGTACTTTCTCTGCGTAATATTTAGTTTCTTTATATATGGCGAGCAACATGTCGGTACTGGGAACTGACAAAGCTCATCAGTTAAGTGCATTGTTTGTGTGGTAGGTCCACTGTAATGAAATCTCGAGAAATTTTGACCAAGTTAATGCAAATTACTCGCAAGGACATCCATACACAGCAGACAAACATTTTCGAGTCTGTTCTTGCGTAGCGCACATTCCACAAAATAGAGTGTGATTGTTGAAATTGAAAGGTTGCAAAGGGCTGACATTCACCCAAGCACTCCAAATTCCTGAAATCTTTTTATCTTCTTTGTTCTTTTATTGGGTCGGTGGGTATGAAATGTCACTATTTTTCCGATTGATCCTTAAACTCGTAAACAAAACGGAGGTAGGGGCTGTTGTGTGAAACTGATAAAAGTAAAAACACTTTTCCGAAAAACAATGAAACCGGGCTTCCTCACTTTCTGTTATTCAGATATTTTGGCAACTTTTGCTGTGGCTATTGAAAATCTACCACCTGAAGATCTGTGACGCATTATATTGTACAAATTTCTACAAGGACATAAGAGCATCTAGTGTACAACTAATATTAAAAACCTTTATGCGAAAAGATCAGCTTCACTACGGACATGTGCAAACTGGTTTGTTAAATCCCGTTCTCGGGATAAATCCTCGAAGACAAAGGAAGGGATCATCCAGCAGTCCAGCTGGATAATGACAAGTTGCTCGAAATTTTTCGAACCAACAACAGGCTTTCTTTCTGCGAAATAGCAAAAGAGATATTAGTTGATCATATAATAATACTCGAACATTGCATAAACTTGGGCTTAAATCTAAATTATGGACCTGGATTCCACATGACTTAACAGACATCGAAAAATGTCGACGCGTTTCAATCAGCGCCGCTCATCTTTCTCGATACGGGCGCAAATCATTTTTACTCCGTATTGGGACAAGAGATGAAAATGGATTCTAACTGTCAACTTTCGGTGAAAGAGTCAATGGGTTGCTGAGGGGGAAAAGCCAGGACACCACGTCAAGCCAAAAGTGCATGAGAAGAAGTTTATGCTCTCGGTGTTCTGGGATTTGGAAGACCCCATCTACTGGGAATTTTTGGATAACATGACAACGCTTAAATAAATCTAATGCTCCAAGCAGCCTAACAAGTCGGTCAAATCTTTGCCAGAAAAAGGACCCCAAAGAGAAAAATTATCCTTTAACATGATAATGCTAGACCGCATGTTTCAATGATGACTCGTTCTAAGCTAAACTCTCTTGGATGGGAGGTAATGATCCATCCGACGTACAGTCCTGATCTTGCACTTTTTGATTACTTATTCCGGGCGATAAGCAGTGATTTGGCTAAGAAATGCTTTGATTCCGAAGATGATATCAAAAAGTGGCTCACGGATTGGTTCGCATTAAAACAAAAAATTTTCTACGAGAAAGGCATCTGGTCTTTGCCAGTAAAATGGGCTCAAAGCGTCCAAAATATTGGAGAATATTTAAAATGGTTGCATGTAAAATATTGAATAAATGAGTTGTTTATTTTTAGCGACATTTCCCACAAACCCAATAGTTTACCTCCATCCGGACAGCATGTTGTCAAACAATCGTTGAATTGAGGTGTGTTTATTTCAAACTAAAGTTGATTTGATCAGCCAAAGTCAACGGCTAAATCCTTACCGTAGGACCACACGCTGTCTCATTGTTGTACTCATCAAGTATTCTCCCAGGACCACAAGGTTGACGCGGAAAAGGACAAACGTTGACATTACAGAGCTCAACTCGTGTTGAAGGACCACTAAAACAGTAAGCCATTTAAATGAATACTTAACCAACTAGCAGGGACAGTTGTAAGCGATCGAAGTGCAAACTCGAGTATAGGTGATGTTTCCTGCAGCTCCGCAATAATCAGCGCATTGATTTTGTGGAGACCATTCAGACCAGGTGCCATTTAGAGGGCAGCACATTTTGACTGAGCTTGTAACTGTGGTTAGAAAAGTTGTTGTCGGGGAGCTCGTTGAACGCGTTTGACCAGTTGTTGAAGTAAGAGTTGCTGGAGGTAGAGCACATAAATAGGGCAATTCAGCGGTGCACTTCTTGTAGCGCCAAGATTTTTCAGATGATTGCATTGTAAGACAGTCTGCCGATTCAGCTAAATTAGATCTTCTAGAGATTTATATCAAAAACCAGCCAAAAAACCCAGCTAACGGCGAGTTTTTCTGGCCGGTTGTTTGGGGACATCCGGCATAGCTCATCGTAGCGGTGAAAGGTTTCATGGTGGCACCGTAGTGCAGTCTGAAGCGCACCACTTGTCTCTGGGCCGCACGGTCCCGGTTCGAAGCCTGGGTTTTGATTTTTATTACGCCCAACTTTGATTTTTAAAAAATCTTATTTTAAATAGCACAACTACAGCATATTCTAAGGTTTTTTAAGGAAATTTTAGCTTTATTGGTCAAAACATGAGAAAATACTCGTACAGACAGACAGATAGACAGATATTATATATGCTACGTCCGATCTAGAGTGAAGTGAGGTCAAAAGTGCGATTTAGAATCAAGTCGATCACTCTAAATCAGACGTCTGATCCAGTGATCCAGTGTTAGATTTAGAGTGATCGGCTTGATTCTAGATCGGACGGATTTCTAGATCAGACGTAACATCTATAGTAGATACTTGAGTGTTGAACATTTTGGTAATCAAATGGGCTCCCATCGGCCCAGGTTGAGGGGAAAGTATCGGGTAATAAGCCTAGCCAGCCTTGGCTTCCAACAAAACCTAGAAAAGTTGAAATTTTGAAAATAACCCAAACAAACTCTTTTGAATTTGAGCAAAAAGCTCATTTTGGAAGGAGTTATGAATCGAGAATAAATGTCCGCCCATCACTTTGCAACGAGTCTCAGCTTGCTCCCAGGTATCTTCTAAAAAGTCTGATCTGATTATCTGATCTGCCAATGGCTGGTTTACCTTGTTGCGATGCGAAAACGCAGAACTCCAAACTCGGATTGTAGATTGCGTTAAAATTGCACGTTTCGGCTGACAAAGTGGTGACGAGAAAGGCCAAAAGAACGAGTTGAAGCATTTCGACGACCAAACTCTCAGAAAGCTTTTCAACTCTTATACATATACTGTTTTACTCACTAAAAGTTTTTATCAGAACTGACCCATGGGAGAATTTATGAACTAAGAAGATTCGCGGATTTTTTTGATAAGAATTTGAAAAACGCAGAGCGTTGAAGCGGAAATCACAAGGAATTTCGCATTTCATAACGTTAAAATACTCTTGTTCTCTCTGAAACTTGAAAATTTACTGAAATTGTAGAAAGTTTTAATAGATTTGAAATAAAATGTTTATGACAAAAATACGATAGCAAAAACATCAAATCTCATTGCGTCTCAAATCTCAAATCAAATCCCTCATTCTCGAAGTTCACAATGCGTGCGTTCATTTCCCAGTCAATTGATTTCATTTTAAAGCGTGGATGCGCTACGATACCCCGCACAAAATCCCCCTTTTGCCATTCTTTTCCTTTCCCTTCATTTCATTATGGAATCAGGAACTTTGTCCGGTTTTTATGCCGAGTCCCGCTAAGTTTTCTTCCCCCTTCGTAAAATCTATTATGTTTTGTAGTGCGTTTTTAAAAACGACGAGCGCTTGGTTGGGAAAACGCGTTTTAAGCCGACCGAAGAGAGTTTCCAATCGCCGTCCGGAGAAACCTAATAGGTTACGCTTTCTGTTAAGCTTTGTCAGCTTTGTCAGCTGTCAGGAAGCTTTGTCAGCAGAAACACGAATAACTAGAGAGGATTACTACAATTCTAGAAAACGCGAGGGAAGATTTAAACTGTTGCTATTGTACAACTGATCAGCACTAAAACTCGCTTCTTGGAAAATAACCGAAAAGTATTGTTCAATCTACTGGTACACATTGTGTTAGAGATTCCCATAACATGAAACATGTAGAAACGCCCCGATCAGAGAGCTGAAGTGGACATTATTAATTAAATCTAAGCGACTCACAACACAGGTTCCTTGCTGGCTGCGTTAACTATCGGAGCAATAGGCCAGAGTGGTCACTTTATGAGTTCCTGTTGTTGTCAGAGTTAACATAAAAATTAGTCAATAAACATTTAATTTGAGTTTCGAAACGTAACTGGCCTGTATCATCTGAGTAAGAGCAAAAAGAGGGTGTAGGTGTTGAACAATCCACCATTGCTAATCATGGAGATAAACAAAGTTATATGAGGAGCGATAGGATGGTTCACCTAAGGATTATCAGGTACTACGATTTCTTACTGACTAAGATTTCAATCTTTACCCGATGCCCAATTTGTGTGGAGTCCATCCAATTCAAACGAGCGGAGTCCCATCTTGATACATCCATTGCCTATTCAAACTCTTCGAAACACCGATGCATCGCGCCCGATTGCTTTCTAATCGCAAAAAGAGAGCTTTTTAGAATTGAATTACCTAAAATGATTGTCCCAATGTAAGAAGGGAACAGCTCACCCTTATCTTCTTTCTCACTAATCCATCGAAAGTAAAAAAGAATCAATAAGTACGCTCTTTAGCACTTTAGCTTTTAGTGTTAGTTTTGTTTAGTTTGCATGCATGGAAAAAAATCTCTAAATGTTTATGTGTAGGTAAAGAATTGACAAAAACAACTCTTACTTTGAAATCAACAATTTGTTGGTTCCTCTTTCATTCTCTGCTTTGTCGTAAAATGTTTATTTTCATTTTCGCTCACATGACAAGTTCATGACTTCGAAAAAATTGAGAAAAACGTTTCAATTTTCCCTAAATACCTTTCCCTAATCATTTTTTTATTTGCGTTTCAATGAAATGTAACCTTGACGAAAAGGAAAGGAAAGTAAAAAGGTGAAAGCCGAGAATATAAGGGACAGATAAACAGTGGTTGCTGTGGTGAATTTTGTTCATTTTGTCGGTGTTTATTTGCTTTCTCAGTCTTGTTCGTTTCTTATAATGAACTTTTGGAAGTATTCCGATTTCAATATTCCATCAGATTCCAGTATTCCATTAGATTCCAATAGAAATTCCAAGCTATTCTAATAGAAATCCACTTCTAGGCTTAGTATTAGTGAATTTAGTACCTGGTAGTAGAAGGTTAAACCAAGCAATGATAGGCTTAGACCAGAAATCAGACTCAGGTCTGGATTCTGGACCAGTAAAGCCAGGCTATGTTAAACTAAGCAAAGTCAAACAAGGATAGAAGCCAGGCCAGAATCTTGGCTTCTGGTCTGCCCTGGCCTGCTTGGCTTTGCCTAACCTGGAGTCTATAGAATAACCATGATTAGAACAATTGTTGCACTTTGTGAGTTGTACACATTGTGAACAATTGTGTGAACAATTATTGTGTTGCAGAGCATGTTTTCAATGAAGAACGTCTTACTATTATTGTTGATAGCGCTTGTGTGCATTTCGTCGGCAACGGGACGGGGAAGAGAAGGAGGTGGACGGGTCAGACGATCACTGGTGGTGAGTGGAATAGTCAAACTACAATATCGTATTAACTATCATAATCGTAACTCGATAATTGCAAAACTAATTCAAATATTACAATCATTCTCTTATATTTAGAAATGCACGCACTCCACCGAATGCCCTGAGGTAAGTAATATAGTAAAGAATTTTTCAAAAGGAAGTTCAGGGAACAAAATGTTTGGCAATGTGTGTGCCGGCGGCGGCTGGAAATTGTGGGCCCGGAACAGGGGTGAGTGATAGATTTACTTAATAATTCTTCAAACCATAACGTTTCTCAAATGCCAAATGCTTGAAAGAAACCCAAAGCTGTAGATCTTTCAAGATTTCATTTCAATTTTATCACGGTTCCTATTCCTGCAAAGGTGATACTGATTGTTAGTATTGGCTTACCAATCGGTCAATGCTAATTCAAAAGATTAAACTTTAAGCTCCAGGAAATTAGATTTCAATTCAAATGGTTTTTATAGATCACAGCTGTTTTTTAAAAGTAGAAGATTCAATTAGAGTTTCAATTCTTATTGAAAACACAAATTTAGTGGCCCGCCAAATGTCGAGACTGGAGCCCCGAGGTCCAGAAATGGAATCCTCACTTCAAGGAGTTCCCATGACTTCTGCACCTTTTGTACATATGTACCAAATTTTATTCGTTTGATATTGCAATGCCTATCTTTTTCTTTGATGCAATGCCTATCTTGCGGTGTATTTCTCTATTATGGGTAGATAAAAGTCACTGAAACGACTTTATTTGTACATTGCAACGAAAGATTTTAAAGCACACAGCCAAATTGTAATACAAACAGTCAGCTATTCGTATAATTCACCTGAAAATCATTGGGCACGTTCAAGTGCTATTTTGTTTTTCTCTGCTATCTTGCTATTTATTTTTCGCGTACACGTTCAAAATTATTCAATTCTTAACTAGCTAGCGTTCTTTACGAGTCTAGTACTGTTGTTGTCACACATTGGTTCTAATGCTTGACCAATAAATTTAGTACAAAAGTGACTCTCAGTCCCAGATTCGATCAGTCAAACGCACAGGCTTTTGAGTTGAACTGTGTTTGAAATTTCTAAACTGATTAAGGTAGATACGAACAAAATAAGCATACTTTCACAAGTACTTTTGGAAAGCTACAAATTGGTACACTATTGCGGACTCGTAGACCAATGTTTCTATGACGTGAGTTTTCATTCATGGCATTCAAAATGAAATGCCGGTCAATTTATGAGAGAAATACGAGATTTCAATAAATATATCACTTCTGATAACCGAAAAGCTCAAAATCTTTGTAGTAGATCGCGTTGAAATAGGTCATTGACAAAGGATTTTGTGTAAATGAAGTTTCCAACTGTTTTGTCCGATCTTTATCTTTATTCGCATGTGCTGTATCGGAGTAGACAACATGGAACAAGACCTAAAATATGGACTCTAGGTTTTGTAAAGCTCAGCAATAGCTAAATTCCTTTTAATCTCTTTAAGATTTATTCTCTTTAAGAGCCAAGTTCAGCTCTGAACTTAAGTATTTTAATAGATGACTTAATGGAAGTTTGGAGCTGATGACTGATACAATTGATATTGTCCAATAGTCTACCTGATCAGAATAGAACTTCGGCACTTTAGCCTCTTCAAAAGCTGTTTTCAGTTCACTGTGCATTGCCAGTCGATCTCCTTCATTGCGGATTAAATGAAACTTCTGACTGTTGTGAGACAAAATGCAGAACCTAAAGCTCCAATAGTAAACTTCTTTTGTTCAGAATAGAACTTTGGCACTTTAAAGACAAAATGAACTTAGAATTGTACAAGTATTAAAACTTCTTTCTTATCTGATTACCAGGTTTGGGGCTGTGCATGGTATTCAACGATTTTTTGATCAGAATCTTTGAAATGAGTGCCATGAATCGATCTCGTCGTGAGCAAAGTGTAGACATCTTTTGTGAATTCGTGAATATTTGCCGAGCCGCACATTTGGAGTTGCCTGGAGAATAGCTAACAATAGCTTTAGCTAACAATAACAATAGAACAAGTATGTCTTTTAAACTTTTAAACTAACAGCAACTTTTAAAACAAGTATGTCTAGTATTTGATACAGTCACTCACTCGCATAGGTATCTATAGAGCGAAAGAAAGCGCTTAAGCGGGTGACGAATGACGGCAATCAGCGTGTCTTCTTGATTCGGTTCCCATGTATTGTTTTGACTTCGAATCCCACTCAACTTCTTGTACCAGCCTTCCGCTTGACAATTGCTGAAGGAAAATTTTGAATCTCAAGTTTATGCTTGAGACAGAACCTTACAGGCTTGCAATTCAGTGGACTTAGCTAATTCAAAATGAACAATTCAGGCTAATACAAGATGATCCAAAAGTTCTGGCACAACTTTTCGTAAAAGCAGCTAGCAAATGTCTAACTTATTTCAAAAGTGGTAAGTGTTATATAGAGATTTAAAGCCCGGGAACTTGGCTACATTTACGTACCAAAAGCTTTCGAATTGGAGTCATATAACACATGTGACAAGCTTTCGAATTCTCTTGTTCAATTCAATATTGATTTTTTCGGCACTCTAGTCATCCAACTTTCCTTCTTTCTTCACTTTTCCTTACCTCGATTGCTTTCCCTGTCCATATTCCACTTTGAATGGAATCCCTTTATAATATCGAAAAAGATCGCACAGAATAATTTGCATAATTGTAGCTCCGTTCTTTGGAATTTGACAAAAAAAGATGCCCGCCTCATGGAAATTCTGAATGGTTGGGAGTTTTGACAAAACATTGTTCACCTCACCGAACCTGGCTGATCTTGAGCTGGTCGGATCGGGATTTGCGGGACTGTTGGTGAATCTAGAACGTTAATTCAGTATTTTCTTGCTTTATCCTTTGTTTTGTCTACATTTTAAGGCTTGAAAATTGCTCTAATTAATCATTGATCAATTTTAAACCCGATTCAAATGGACCTTACAGCTGAATTTGGTCAAATCTGAGATCAAAACTGTTCCAGATAAGGTTAAGTATTCAATTTTTACCTGCTGATTTGATTGAATCATCTCCTTGACTTGATAAAACAAGAAAGCTGGCAAAAAGACAAAAAGAAATCATCTAAAATCAGAAAAAAATGAATCTGTGTGAAGCTTCACACAAAAATTCAGAATGCTTAGCGCTAGTAATTTGAGCTGACACTGTTTGCAGACAGTCATTTGAGCAAAACAACGACAAGCTCTGGCTTTCTTGACTGAAAGAAAAGATCGAAATGAAAAGGAAATTCCATTCGATCTTTATCTTCTGACAAATTGCACTTTCGATTTTGATGTCGAACTTTGTGCTTCATTAGCATTGCGTTGAAGTTTCACGTGCTTTTTTTCTTTTTCATTTTTACTTTTCAAGTTTCATTAAAATTCTAGACTTGATGTACAAAAAGACTTGTGAAAATCAAGAAAACAAAAATATTTAGCCAACTTTTCAAGCGTTTTGTACAAATTATGTCATTCTACAAAATAAGTATTCTTTGTTTTTTACCGTGGATGGTTTTTGGGCATAATGAAAGTGATGTAAGCTTTATAATGGAAGTTCAAGTCTTGCTTAAGGAAAATTTCTAGAAAATGTAATATTTATCAGTTCAGAAACGTGTTCTGAAGGTTTATAATGGTGGAGAAGTGATGAATCACTATCCATTCATGGCGGCCATCTTTATAAATACGAGTAAAGGGTCAGTGATCATTTTTGCCTTTTTGTTTTTGTTGTGTTTTTGTCGATGATCATTTTTGCTAACGAACCACAAAGTCAATCTTTTGAGCAGCTTGGTCAAATCTCAAATCAGTCAGGGTTTTTTCGGTGTTGAACCTAGAATTGGCAGGCTAATTTGATGTGATTTAGCCCTGGCTTTTCTGGGTTCTGATCCCTTTTTCTGGGTTCACACGGCTGGCCTAAGCATTTCGACTTTAACTACTTCTCTTTCTGTTAGACTTTAACTACTCCTCTTTACATGGTGATCAAAAAGTTACAAAAGAAGCTCGATTTTTCAGCTAAAACCCAAATCGAAATTCAACTTACTATATCGTATTTTGAAGCTGAAACTCTGGGGAGCATTTCTACACCTAAACCATCCTGATCAAAGCCACCTAGCTCTTCAAAGAACCATTGTAGTGCGCTGGAGGCAAACTGTCATCGCGCTCACCTATTTGAAACTCTTTTCAATTGAAAAATCCTTCAAAAGACCTTTTAAATCTACAATTTTGTTTCAAGTAACAGTTCAATTGTTATTTTAAAAGAATCAAATCTCTCGTCAAAATAAAAACGTAAAATAGTCTTCAAAAACATGCGAAACTGTGTTTGTCTGATGGGCGGTTTGCCTCGAATGCAGGCTTCTTGAAAAGGGTAAAAATTTCTGATCGGAGTCTTACTTATAAAAATGTTCATCAGAATTTCAGCATCAAAATACTATAAAATACGGGAAATTTTGTTTTAGCCTTTTGTTTTAGCTTTCATTTAAAAAATGAGTCATTTACAAGTGTGCGGGGACTTTTTGATCACCCTGCAAAATCGAAAACAGCAACTTTAGCTGGATGTATGCTTGCGGGGGAACGGTGATTGCCCGGGAATGGATCTCACAGCTGCACATTGTTTGGAAGAGATGGTGCAGCAGCCAAAACGGTGAGTACCGTAAATATTCCAATAGACCCGGGTCTTCTATTTTTCAACCCCCCAAAATCGGTCGGCCAAAAAGTAGGTAGGGGTCCCCCACTTGAACCAATATTTTAAAATTGTTAAAAACTACAGGGTGCGCCGTAATTGGCGCAACAAAATAAAGTTCTGATTTTAAGGCAGACAAGAGGAAAAAAGACAAATTTTTCACTGAATAACATTTATTGTACAGTAACAATTATAAATGAAATATCAAATTCGAATCGGCCATCATTAGCATTTGAGCAGGCGTTTTGGGAAGGCGTCAATGGTGGCGACCAAATAGGCTGGATCGAGCTCTTCCCACACTTTCAACGGTGATTTCTTCAAGCTTTCTATGTTTTCTGGGGCTTTGAATAAGCTCTGGCTTCTAGAAAGGTAAATATCTTTTCATCTGTGAAAAACATATTGTGATGGTCGATTCCATTGAGGCGCGTTAATAACTGATCCGCTTTCAATTTCCGCTTGTTTTTAGCGGCACTCAAAAGAAGTTGAGCCTTGTTTTTCTTGTAAGCAGTAAGTTTGCGCCTATTTTTGAGGTGCTTGAAATCGCCATCTTCTTTGCCATTTGCCTTGCCGACTGGTTTGGCTTCTTCCAAATTCGGTCCCTCACTCGCTTGATGTTGTCTTTGTGACGACAGTTGGACGTCTACCGCTTCTTGGTGCATCAGCAATTGTTCCCATAGTTTCGTATAGTCCGGAAAATGACACTTCTGTCGACTTTAAGACGCTTATTATACTCCGGCACCGAGACTCCTCGCTTGTGCAATTCGATGATCGATTGTCGATGGGGATTTTCCAGCCATTCTAAAAAACAACACATTTTATATGAAAAAGTCTCAATTATATTCCAAATACAATAAAAACACAAAATAAAACCAGAAATGAAGCTTAAATCAATGAGTTATTGTCCTTCAATCAGCGTGATACCTTGTTGCGACAATTATGGCTCACCTTGTATTCGAAACGATAGACCTTGGTTCAAAACGCACCAAAAACATGTTTAAATGTGAAATTATTTTCTTACCCAGACCCCATAAAGAATCTCCCAAAAAAATCCCTGTGGAAATCTTTGAATTTTTTGAAAGTGATAAATGATCCGATGTTTCCAATTTTACTACCGAGGATGAAATTCTTCTATCTAAACCTAAATCTCCCATTCTAGCTAAAAAGAAGTCCGGAAAAGTCTCGATTTTGAGGGGTCGAGAGAGGGGTATTCTATTGGAGAAGGGTAGATTAGAATAATTACGATAGTTGGGTTTTGAGCAAGGCTTTGCACTTTCCCTTTCAGCCTCGTACTGGCGAAAGATCTCCTCGTTTTGGTGGGAACTAAACGAGTCAAACAGCCATTGGACACAACTCACGTCGGTCTTTTTCTTGTTCCTTTTAAAGCTTCAAATCTAGTCTTTAACTTAATCTAAACTTTGATAAGAAGATGAGAAGATTGAAGATTGAAGATGTGAAGATTTAGATGAGAAGATTTAGATGAGAAGATTCGTGGCTGCATATTTTACTCTAAAAGACGTAGAGATAGGGTTTAATGGGATTCGACGAGGAGACGTGGCTCTTTTGCAGGTTTTGACAAGATAGCTGTTTAGAAAAAGATTCAGATTTTATTTCAATTCAGCTCAAATACCCTCTTCTATTCGGTGAAAAGATCAATCGAATCGTGATCCCGAAAGCTAAGCCAAGTCTCGCCGAGGGGCAGATCATTGGATGGGGAATGATGAATACAAGTGCTAATTCTCAACCTGCGATTCTCCAATCACTTATCATGAATCTTATTTGGAGTGTAGAAGGATGTAAAGCAAGAATATCGGATGCTGATGATAAGGAACGGTTTGATGAAACTCAACTCTGTGCTTATAGTTTGGATGCGGGTGCTTGTGAGGTACAGGTTTTCGTTTTTTCCAAGATTGAAAAGTGTACATCGGCGCGAAACATGGTAAAAATGTGTTTTCTGATGAAATTTCTTCTAATATATACCATTCGACGCAGAATTTTGTGCTGATTCCAAAGATCATAATGATTTTGAAAGCCGTCTGACCAAAAAGCAGCTCTTTCTGAAGAGTCCAAAAAATTAAAAGTCGATCATATTTTCAAGATCATAGCAAAAATTTTCTAGTCTGCAATCAGATTTCGCTTTGTTTTTATTTAAAAGAAGAGCTTTGAAAAGTTTTTTTACATTTTAACATCAAACAAATTATTTTATAAACCTAGAGTTTTTAAAGTATTGGGTTGGGGAGAATGAGTCGGCGCCGAAAATCAAAGAAATTTCTAAAACTTATAGCAGACTTTGTCAAATGATATGCGTTTGATATCCGTAGAAGGGTAACTAATTCTCTACAAAATAATATTTAAAAGAGAACTCAAACAGCGCCTCAACTCAACAAAGGATCATTTTTTCACAAAATCGATAAACTGTCATCTAGAGTAAACGGTTGGAGGGATCTTCCTGAAAATTTGGTAACTTATGTAATTGAGTGTGCTCTATCTTTTTTTTATATAAACACCAAAGGAGGTTTATGTGGAAGAAACTGTTCAAGCAATGAGTCGGACTTTTTGTCATTTTGATTAGCTGTGTTTGGGAATCCATAAAATCCCAAAAAAGAAAAGCTTTGTGGAATCTCTCAAAAGCCATTTTGTAAAGAAATAGTGGACCATTTTGATGAAACAAAACGTGTATTTAAAGAAGGTTTTATGGGTGCAAAAAGTTTCTTTAAATTTCGGCGCCGACTCATTCTCCCCAACCCAATAGAAAGTCCACCAATTTTCCGAAAACATGGGTAAAGTTTGGAGGCCTGGTTTTCAAAAAAAGTTTATTAGAAAAAAAAATTTCGTTTAATAATTTTTTCTTTTACATTTTGTTGCAGTTATTTTGGTAAAAAAGTATGCAAAAATATCCTTTCTATAAAAAGTTATGTTATGGTTATGGTTTTAGGGACGAGCACCAGAAAACAGCGCAAAAGGACAGCTTTTTCCATGTTATCTTTATTTTAATGCTCAAAATGTTCAAAAATCTTAGAGTTTATTAAGAAGTGATGCTATAATAATATTGAAAAAGTTGAAATCAGCACACAATTCTACGTCGAATGGTATAGATTAGAAGAAATTTCATCAGAAAACGCATTTCGCGCGGATGTGCAGTGAGAGATTTGTTTCATGATCACTGAGCACTGCAATTGGTTTTCGTTTGGCGGTAGTGATGAACATAATCACACACTCGTTTACATTCAATTTTCGCTTTGATCAAACAAATTTCAACTCCAGGGTGACTCTGGTGGGCCACTCTTTCGAGCATTCCCGCATTCTCGCTCCATTCTCCTCGGATTGGTCTCAATGGTGCAAGAATGTAACTATGAGGGAGAAAATATCGGTGAATTGTAAAAGCCAGCATTCTCCAAAACATCAACTCTTTAGGCATTTTGTGAACGTGATCAAATGCTGTGATTGGATTCAGAAAATCACTGGAATCGATGATATTTGTGTCGACATTCCAGACCCGAAGAAACCCGATCCAGCAACAATTTCCGCGGCTGATATGACAAAGCTGGCTTTCTGCGAGTTTTGTCCGGTGAGTAACCAAATTTTAACGTTAAAGCTAGTTCTGCTGATAAATGTTACATTGCCAGATTGCCCTTGACTGGGTGAAAGATTTTCTCGATGATCCACAAGGGAAAGACTTGGAACCAACGGTGTTCGCTGGGAGAGTTGCTGAGAAATGTGCATCATACAGTCTTTCAGAAGGAAAAATCAAAAATGTGGGTTTTTTTAGGAACTCTTAGACCTGGACAAGTGCTTAGCAGTATATGATTTCCCAATTGTATTGCTGAAGTTGTTGGAAAATCCAAGCTGAGACTGAAAACTGCCATAGTTAGCCAAGCGAAGTTTTCAGCGATCCAACTGCAAAACGACTGTTTACACAATTGTTCTGACTGAGCTGAAGAAAGTGAAAGAAAACGCAATCAAAGGAAAAGAGGCCGAATTGTGCAAAAATTGGTTTCCCACTCAAGAATGTATTGCAATGAACTGGGACTCAAAGAAGTAAATGAGTTCAATAAATGGATGCATCATCGTTCATTGTATCACTTTCTACAATATCTACTGCATAGAACATACAAAACACATTTTCAGTCCAGTTGCACTTGTTTTTTACTCAACTAATAGTGAAAAAATCCCTCCTTTTCTTGGAAATTCTCCTAGAGTGATGTGAGAGTCTTGAATCTATTACTGGGCCAATTTAAGAATTGCGACCTTTTTCGAGAAAATCCTGGGTTGGCGCTTTCAAGCGTGGTAAAAACTACCGTACTCCTCCTAATCTGTGCGAAATTTCATTTTTTTATTCTTGTTCCTTTCATTTTATTCTTTTGCGTTTTCTGATGTAGTTGCGTTTCTGGCTGTTTCCCTGAATCATGGTCGTTTGAAAGTTGGGGTCGACGTTGGGCGACATTGCACAAAATCCCTCGTGGGCTCAATAGGATATCACAAAGTTGGCAAGGATATCTCTCTTGGCTGTATGTGAAGGTCTTCACAAACATTTGCGTGTCCGAGATAACGCAATGCGTACCAAGCCTTGCGTTTTGCTGGAATGCTAAAATTGTTGTTCATACGCTTGTTCTTTGAATTCTGATCAAATAAACTTGTGCATGTGGAACTTAATAAAATAAAAAACAATTTCAGAAGACTTTTTATCAAAAAAAATTGCAAAAGACCACGAAACGAACTTTTTGACAAAAGACCACCGAAACTTTCAAAAGGTGATTCAGGGAAACAGCCGCATTTCTTTTTAGTAAACAAAAAGGATAAAGCTAAGTTCCGTTTTTAACAGCATTTTCTGTGGCGGAAGCTTTGTTTGTAGAGTTTTTAGATCCACCTTCTTCCCGACGATCTGTTCCACGAACTTGATGTCAACTAATGTTAAGTTAAGTAGTTTTTATCATTTTCTATGGCGGAAGCTTTGTTTTGACTTTTTATTTGAAAAGGCCTTCAAAAGAATAAATGAAATGAACAAGAATAAAAAAAATGAAATTTCGCGTAAATTGAAGGGATACCGTAGTTTTACCACGGTTTAAAGCGTCAACCCAGGGATTTTCTCGGAAAAGATCGCAAGGACTTTAAGATCTTCTCGAGTTGCTCAAGCGCAAATTATCTAGTTGTTTGACTTACTTACTTACTGTTTGGCTTGTCTTGGCCTGGTAATTTTACTCTAGGAACAATGTAGGAACAATTACTAGGTTGGTGCAAATGAAATTTCGTTTTTTACAAACATTAAAGTCATCCAAAATTTTTTTAGATAACAATTTATTTAAAACAATAAGCACCATTATTATCTATGACATCCCTCCAACGTTGCTTCAGATTGCGGATCCCCTTCTCAAAGAACGCTTGATTCTGTGATGCAAAGTAGTTGGTCACCCAATTTCGACTTCTTTTGCATTCTTAAACTGGCAATTCTCAAGGGAATGTTGCATCGATCTGAAAAGGTGAAAATCGGAGGGTGCTAAGTCTGACTATACGGCGCATGTGGTAAGACCTTCCATCCTAGCTTCTCTAGTTCCTTACAAGAGGTTTTTGCCGTGTGAGCTGGAGCATTATCACGGAGAAAGTTGATAGTTGAGGGATTTAGGCCTTTTTCACGCAAAATTTCGTCAACCTTCTTGAGTTGTTGAATAAAATAAGATGAATCGACTGTTTTTCCGGGCTCTAATAATTCAAAATGAACAAGTCCATTGATATTCCACCAGCAAGACAACATCACTTTGCGCCCATGATAATCCGGCTTTGGAGTTGGAATTGGCGCTTGACCTTGCTCAGCCATTGTCTTTTTCGAGAAGTATTATCAAAGTGAATCCACTTCTCATCCATCGTCAAGATATTCTCAAAAAATGGCTTCTTTTCGACTTATGGAGCAAGATATGGCTGATCGAAACGCGTGCTCCTAGATTCTCAACACTCAATTGATGTGGAACCCATTGTCCATTCACGATTTGTCTTTCCAATTATTTCCAAATGGCGTACAATTGTTGAATGATCACATTGAGATGTTTGGCAAGTTCTCGTGTTGTTTGCATTGGATCAGCTTCAATTAATTGTTCCAATTCATTGTTGTCGATGGCTGTGGCACGATGTCCATGCGATTCGTCTTCAAGGGATTCATTACCATCTCGGAATTGGGCAAACCAGAGCTGGCATGATCTTTCGGTGATAACCTGTTCTCCAAAGGCGGAACAGAGATCACGATGTGAATCAGCAGCGGTTTTTGCCCATTTGAAGTCATAGAGAAGACACGTGCGCAGAACATACTTTTGATCCACCATGATCTAAAGCAAAAATCAATTAAAAAAGTGAAAGCTCTGACTTTGAAAAAATGCGAAAATAAAGTAAATATCCAAGAGTACAAATGCACAAAAGAACATCAAATAAGCTCTTCAGATTAAAAATAAGAACATTTTATATCGACCGAAATTTCTTTTGCACCAACCTAAT